ACCCTCTCCCTTGCTGAGCATCTGCGCATCCTTCTCAATGTCGTAAACCTGCTCTAGAGTCTGCGGAATGTACTGGTTGCGGAAAACTTCATTGTCGATTTCCAATGCGGCTGCCTCATCTTCGTTTGCTGCGGATTCGCGCGTCTCGTACAGCTTGTCTATCGTTTCACCCAGACCAGGTTCCTCGACAGGTCCGGTACTGGCGGTGATGAAGTTGAAGATGGCTCTGTCAGAGAGTGTATCTACGCCCTTGCGTCTGAAGAAGTCACCGACGTTTTTAATATCCATTCGCAGAAATTCCAGAGATCGAGGGTGATCGGGCTCCACACTCTGGGATACGTCAATGATGTAGAGAAGGCCATTGTGGTACAAGATGTTGTACTCGCTAAGATCGGCGTGGACGAGCCGACACACTTGGTACATTTTGCGCATTACACCGAGAAGTTGAATGTATAGGCTTCTCCACTGCTGGTCGACATCGTCTCCAGTGAGAGTGGCATCCCGGAGTCGTGGGTACGCCCAGCCCTTCTTGTCACCTAAGAAGCCCATGACAAGAACATGCAGCTTCAGTGTGATGGGTTCCGGGCAAGGAATGCCAGCGGTGTGGATTCTCCTCAAGTTTCGATACTCCTTTTCTGCCCAGAGCTTAACCATCTTGCGGTTGTTTCCCTTGTCAAAACCACCCTTGAATCTATGTTCTCCAGTAATATACCTCTCTCGGTCCTTGAAAACTAGAATGGCCGTCTTGTATACTTTGATGGCCCTGTGGACCGCGTCGCCCGACTTGTCGTCGACGAGCATCGCTCCGTAGACATTGGCTTCCTTGCCGGTGCTGATTGCACCGTGGACCTCGCTGACAAAGCCGCGGTTAATCATTTGCAGCAAAATCATGCGAGTCCGTTGATCAAGCACCTGATCGCTGGTGGCACGATCGGCCTTGTCCTTGTCCTTCTCATCGCTCTGCTTGACGGTATCTAGACGGATCTTGGCAGCATGTTTTGACAGCGCGGAGACCTGGTCATCCACACTGGCAAACGTGTTTGCTGTGGGCTTTTGTTGGTTCGATCGCGGGGCAGCAGCCGCTCCGTTGGTATTGTCCTGCAGCTGACGCTGGCGATTATAGTTCTTTGTGAGGTCTCTTGCGTCCCCGCTCCATTCTTCCTCGTCTAGGTCGTCGTCTTCAAAGATGTCGTCAAAGTCATTGTCGTCGTCTTCGTTGTACTCTTCTGGATGAGGGGCACCGCGCGGCATGCGCACTTCGGGAGGCACTTCTTGGGATGTCTCGACGTAGCCATTATTAGCGGTGTAGGTGAATGGCGGCTCGTGCGGAGCAGCCGGCGAGGCTGTCGAAGTGATTGCCTCTGGCATGATTTCTGCTTTTGGGGCTGTTTGTTGTAGAGCGGAAAGGGGGGGAACAGGAGGAGGAGAAGAAGAAAAAGAAGAAAAATGCTTGTCGCGATTGTGCCGTTGAGGTGATGATCGAGGCCGCTACTTTATCTTATCTAAAAATTTCAACATGGAGGGACATGGAGGGCACCTTTTCGATTGACCCCGCCAAAAATTTGCCCCTCATGTGGTGGCGGCATTCATGACTGCCAACGAACAGATAAAACGGTGACTCATGAACGGGGCCATCTCAGGCCTGGCTGCATCAATTGATCTCGTGCTAGGCTTCAACATTGAATGTTGTGCAGGCACTGGGGCGCTGCTGGCTGGGGCGGGGGCTGGTCAAAGTGGTCCCTGGTGGTCCCTGGTGGTGCCTGCAGCCGCCTGCAGCTGAGCCTGACACTGAACATGGTGCCAACGCCGCCTAACCAATATTGCCTGCCGCCCAGCCCTGGCGTCCCTGGTAACGCGCTCCTTCCCAGACGGAGCAACGAGCACCTGCCCAATTAGTGGCAGTTGGTGGAGCGCTGGTGCTGCTAGGCATTGAATGGACTGTGATGATGTGCCTCTCATATCGACCAACTTCCAGTCATGATGAGCCTTGGTGTGACTTGTGACTCCTCGTCGACATAATTATCCATTGTCAACTCCACCATTATTCTGCCCACCGTCATCTCCGAGCCGAATCCTGCTCCCGAGCTCTTCGGCAACATGTTCCACCTTGTGCCGCAGCCCATGAGCGAGACGTGGTCGACACCAGCCCCGGCGGGAGGCGTCACGATCACTCGATTGGATCAGCATCAAAACATTCGCGACTCTCAACTCCCGGGACAATCATTTGACATCAGACACAATCTCCAAGCGTTGACTCCCTCCCCTGAACGGTGTCATGGTTCTGCCACGGCTGACGCCTCCTTACGCTCTCTCTGTACAAGGGAGGCTGACCTTAATTTCAATGTCTCATTACAGGGCCGCGGCATGCCCTCAATATTTGCTTTTTCCCCTGTTCAGCAGCCCATGAGGGAATGTGTCGCAGTCACATGAGGAACGTTCTTGCATTAGTGCATAGCTCAGGGAGACTCTACAAGATATGTTCTCCCTAGGAAGTAGCATAACACACGTTCCAACTTGCTCAACTGCAATCAATATGCCACGCCTTTGAGACTCATGGTATTCTCCGCGGTGAGACTGATCCGCAAACCTTAAGTTCTTAGATGATATTAATAGGCAATGGCCACTTGGTTTTCTTTGCAGTGACGAAAGAATTGGACTTTATTCGCCGTGTAAAGAGTTGCGAGTCTTGGGAGCTCCTGTTGCCATCTAGTCGCCTTTCCACAACTCAAGTGACGACAACAGTGCAAGTCGTATTCAGTCAGCATAATCACCATGAAGGCAACAATTGCGGCCATTGCTTTGGCTATTCTGGCAGACGGGGCTGTCGTTCGTGAAAGGGTTGGCACGGCGCCACAAGCACCAGCTCCAGGGACCAACGGCAGGTCGTTCACACTGAATCAAGTTCAGAACAAGGACTTCCAAGGTCACGATGGACCTATGTCCTTCTTGCGCGCTCATTTCAAGTATGCGAAGAAATTGCCAGACTATCTGTCCAAGTTGGTAGAAATCGATCCCAGCTTTCGCATCAAGTTTGGTCTGGGTTCCCAAGGTAAATGTTTCCCACAAGTGACGCTGCGGCAGGCCTCGGGTTTTTACTAACGAGCATCATAGCAGATGGGCAAATAGGAACTGTTCTAGCAGACCCTACGCCGCTTGTAGACACACAATATGCCATCGAAATCGGCATCGGTACACCGCCGCAGCATATTCGGTTGAACCTGGACACCGGGTCTTCTGACTTGTAAGCGCACTACTCTTATCACCGCCATCACCATACCTGATATCTGACACCAAAAACAGTTGGGTATTTTCAACCGATACAAACCCAAGCATGGTGGACCGTCAAGTGCTTTATGACGCCGACAAGTCAATGACAAGCCATTTCTTAACCGGGGAATCGTGGAAAATCAAGTACGGCGATAATGCGTCGGCCAGTGGCTATGTCTACACCGATCGAGTGCAGATTGGGGAAACATATGTCGATACCCAGGCTGTTCAAGTTGCCGTGAATCTGACAAAGGATCTCTCAAGCGACAACTTTGTGTCTGGAATCTTGGGAATGGCCAATAGCGCTGCCAATACCGTCCGCCCTACGCCCCAGCGAACCTACATCCACAACATCAAAGACAACCTAGCTCAGCCGCTATTCACAGCAAACTTGCAGCGTCAGGCTCCCGGCAGTTACAACTTTGGATATATTGACGACTCTCAATATAAGGGGAGCATTACGTACACGCCAGTCGAGCCTACGTTTCCCCTCTGGATGATCTCCACCACGGGATACAGAATTGCCAAGACTTCTCACAATGAACGAATCGATTCCATTGTTGACACTGGTACTTCGCTGTTGCTGCTGCCTGAGACTGTTGTTTCCAGTTACTACGCAAAGGTCAAGGGGTCTAGCGTCCATCCTCAGCTGCACATGAGGATCGTCCCCTGCAATGCCGACCTGCCCGACTTCTATCTCAATATCGGCTCCTATCGGGGTCGAGTGCCTGGCAGTTATATGAATTACGGGCGGATCAGCGGCAACAGCTGCTTTGGAGGCATGCAATCATCAAGTGATTTGCCGTTTTCAGTCCTAGGAGATGTTTTCCTCAAAGCTCAGTTTGTGGTGTTTGACTATGGGAACGCACGTGTTGGTTTTGCAAACAAGCAGCTGTATGAATAAACGACACTTGATTCGGAGTGTATGATGTGCTGTCGATTTAGACTGTGGGTTTATATGGATAGACTATTAATGAGGCATGCAAAGAGGGTTGGGAGATGATACGGTTATATTCTGCCACAGTCGCCAGGAGTTACGCTGCATCATAATTTCGCTCGCAATATCCACATGTTTTGCAAGCCCACGCGAAGGGCTTCGCAATGGTACCATGTTTTTTACGCACACTTGTTTCCCATCCGAGACATGAGTACATACAGTTGGGCATCACACAAGTCTCCGAAAACGGGACTCGGCACCCGGAAGCCCGCAACGCCCCGGCAAGCCAATATTTCGGGTGGTCCCGTGGCCAAGGTTCAACCATGAAAATATGCACTAGGCAGTCAATCTGAGAAATCAAGAAACATTGAAATAGAACGACCTCGAGGGCCCTTTTGCCCAACATGGGCGGGGGGCCCAAAATGTCATACCACCAGTCTCACCACTTCTCGCCGCCCGTCTTGGCTCTGTGGCGGGGTCTCATCTTCGACGGCCACCACAAATGCGCCGACATTAAGTTTAAAAGGCGATCAATGATGCCCTTCACCCAAAAGCCACCAACTCCGCTGGTGCAATTACCACTTAGCCAGCGTCCGCGGAAAACCAAGATACCCAAAGCAAAAATACATGTGCGCACATGGGCACGCTACTAGCACCGGCTCATACGTCACACCAGCCGCCCAGCTCAACACGTAAAAGAGACGCACCAGTCGCGGCCAGAAAGATGCAACTCTCGCAAGCCAACCTCGCCGCCCTCAACCGTCTACACCAACAAGGCCAAGCAACAGCCCCAACCATGGACAGCGTGCTCGTCATCGGCGCGGGCGAGCTCGGTCTCTGCGTGCTCCAGGCCCTCGCCGCCCACCCCAAGCGGCACCACGTCAAGGTATCAGTGCTCATGAGACAGGCCACGCTGGATTCGGCCGCGCCCGCCAAGAAGCGAATCGTGCAAAGGATCAAAAACCTCAACGTCCACTTCGAGTCCGCAGACGTGGTGCTAGCCGGCGTGCAGGAGCTGGCGGGCATCTTCACCAACTACCACACCGTGGTGTCCTGCTCGGGGATGGAGCTGCCGGGCGGCACGCAGACGAAGCTGGCCGAGGCGGCGCTGCGGGCCAGAGTGCGGCGGTACTTGCCCTGGCAGTACGGGATGCGGTACGACGTCATCGGGGAGGGCAGCTCGCAGGACCTGTTTGACGAGCAGCTCCTCGTGCGGCGGATGCTGCGGGCGCAGAGCGAGACGCAGTGGGTGATTGTCTCGACGGGCCTGTTTATGAGCTTCCTGTTTGCCGAGGACTTTGGGGTCGTCGACCTGCGGCGCGGCGTCGCCCGGGCGCTGGGGAGCTGGGACAACAGGATCACGGTGACGGCGGCGCCGGACATAGGGCGGGTGGCGGCCGAGGTGGTGCTCGACCCGAGGGGCGTTGGCAACGAGGTTGTTCTCACGGCTGGCGATACCGTGTCCTACGGGCAGCTGGCGGACCTGCTGGACGAGCACTTTGGCACCAGGTTCGCGAGGGAGCTGTGGGACGTGGACACGCTGAGGGGGCAGATGGCCGAGGACCCGAGTGCCGTGGTCAAGTATAGGGATGTCTTTGCCCGCGGGAGGGGTGTGTCGTGGGACAAGGACAGGACGTTGAACTTTGAGAGGGGGATGGAGCTGCTGGATGTGAAGGGGTATTTGGACAGCGTGAATTTCAAGGTTGGCGAGGCGTAGCCGTCAACCTGACTGGAGGCATCGCGGTACGGAATTTGTTGCGCTGGACGCTTTGGACAACGAAACGCCGGCGTGGATATATGTAATGATAATGTAAATCTCAATACTGTACCTTGAACTGCTCGCTTCCTCGTGTCCGCTTGCTTCAGTCTATGAGTGGGATGTATTTACCAGTCTCAGAGTTACATAATTATTCCATGTACTTGAGTATAATACAGCATGGTACATGGAGCAGCAGCATATGTTCTTTCTGGCCAACTGCTCTTCTCCTCGGGCTGTTTACGGCCCTTCCAAGGTTTGTGGCCAACAATCCAGGCTGGGAATGCCCAAATTCCTCGCCAGCCTTTGCTCGGGCAAAAGAGTTGGGTGAAGTACTGGCCAAAACTGGCCCCCGAGGTATACAATGAGGTGTACGAAGAAGTATCGATGCAACTACCACCCCACAGCTTTCTTGTTTTTCTTCTGCATCATCTCACAGTAAATCGTTTTCCGCACAGGATCTCCATATGCGTCAGAAATAAGAGCATTATAATTAGCGACAACCTAGATGTGTCCACTAGTTCCTATGCACTTGTCGAAACCAAGCCTCGTAAGGACTCTGGTCTCAATGTTAGCGACGGTCGGGGCCCAAAACACAACGTTCGAACATTGAAGCATGTCTGGTATCAGGCATTCAAGCCAAACCCGTCACCAGCGGGGAGTTTCCCCGGATCGTCAGTCAGAGTAGGGCTCGGTGCCGCCTTGGGCACAAAGGATAGCAGTGCCTCATCCAGCCGAGGACGCATTTGTGGCTGCCAGCAGGTCCGCGGGACTTTCGGAAGCATCGCAGAGTCAGCCGCGCTTGGCAGTGTCGTGGGAACAACTCAAATTTGTCCGCAGCTTGGGTTCTCGGAGGAATGTCCAGCGGTTGCTGACTGACGCGGCGTGTCGCATTGGGACGATGGTAAAGTTGGCGAAATGGCCGCATTAGTCATTTCCCCCTGCATTTCCGTGCTGGAAGCCTTGCTGTTGATGATATCCGCGGTACTGTATCATCTCGAGGCAATCACGGTGCGTCATTTTGGCCCCTTGCCATGCATGAGTGTAAAGAAAAGAACAGGCCCCTCGTGTAGAGGTGCACCGGATACATATTCACTCGCCCTTTCTGGAACATGGACGAAAGCGGGATAGTGCAGGATGGTGACGGACGATAGACGAGAGCACCCTGCGTCATCAAGAGGCTTGGACCAAAACAACAGAACTCCAAGTTGTACCCACTGACCTCTTTGTGAACTTTAGAAGGATATTAAAAGACCGCTACCTACTGCAAAATACAACATAACGTCAATTACTAAGGGATCTTGGGGCTAAGAGTCATTGCTTTGTTGCGTCAATCTATCCCAGCCTCTGGCTCTAGCTCTCTCAGGCTAAAGTGTAGGCTCGGGCCATAAAGCTAGAAATACCACCATCACGTATGCCATTCACACTAGAGAGCGACAGACTCCCCATGAACATCCGGCCCAGTCATCCCTCCTGCCATATATTAGGTACCTAGGCATGTAATATGTCGATTAGTCACGTTAGGAATACCCATCCCTTCGCATTGACGGTTTCACGCACTGGTGATGGGACCCAGGTTTGCCCAGCTCGGGCCTCATGCGGTGGAGGGCGGATGGACATGTTGCAGGCAGGTCAGATTGTGGCCCGATAAGACTCGAAGCTGAATGCATTCCCACCGATGCGATTTGACTGTCAGCCTTGCGGCCTGGGGAGCCTGGGGATGGACTTGTCGAGACTCTTGGAGAGGTGGCGAGGTCTGGTCGGAGAGGCACTGGAGGAGCAACTGGACAAACCACATGCAGTATTTGGACATGGAAGGATTGGCGCCAGGCCAGCACGTCACCACATCAGTGACTGATAAGACCAGTCTGGTCCATGTCTGGTCTGGTCAATCCATGTCGTTTCCCCCGCCAGATGCCGTCTCAAGTGCTGGCGCTGTTGAGTCCTTCGCCGGCCAACAGGCACTGAACCCAGCCTGTTCCAGGTGACATCACGCCCAGCAGCAGAGGACGTGCCAAAGGGCGGGGTCCACGCTGGGACCGATTGGGCCAATGGGGCGCCGCAGGAGCTGCGCAAGTGGGTCTACTGTTCGGCCTGTGACATGTGCACTCCGAGTGGCTGACGCATGAAGCGGCTCATCGACAATCGGCACCGTTCCAAGTTGTAGGGTGCATGGCGAGACGTCCCATGACTCACACGTCACTCGTGTCTAAATGGCGTTCAGTGTTGACATCGCTGAATGGGATGCCCGGGCAAGGCGCAGCCCAGATGACTCCATCACTGGCCAATCACAGCATCGGCTGTGAGGCAAGCACCCAGCTCGATATAAGTCGCTGTCGCCACGGCTACCATGTCATCGGCCATTATCAGTCTCTCAAGGTCCATCGGCTTCTACTCGGCTCTTGCGACCTCTATCCCTAGACAGATACTCGCCCTTGGCCAACGAAAGCACGGCCGTTTCGGAAAATAGAAGGCGTGGTGTTCTGTTCCTGAACCTTCCACTTTGACATCTTGACAACCACAACGCCCTGGTGTTGACAAGCTACAGCCGACCACCACTTTCCCAGGCCAAAGAAGAACGGCGTCAAGTTTTACCCAACACGCTGTCAATAACGTATTGCACGGGAACAATTTCTGATACATTTATAAAAATCGACAACATCCCCCGCTACGGAATGAGTCCAATCCCCGACAGCCTCTCCGGAGAGGATGGCCTCCATCTAGCACAGAGGCGACAGCATCATCGCCGTGGTGTCAAGCCACAGTATCGTTCTCTCAACCGTCTGGTACGTGCTGGCGCAAAGCATCTTGTCGAAAGTGGCCAAACCGACATCTTTCCCGACTGTCACCAAGATCACAGCCAGCTTGATAAAGCCAGTTTGCGATCCCACATCCAGCAAGACATACGTCAATACTACTTCAACATTGGCAAGTCAGCCTATCGAGGAGACCAGATTCCTAATTACAATGGCCCTACACCTCGCAAACTAGACGGCCAGGACGACGGTCGAGATCTTGCATACAGCGACATTGAACTGCCTTCAGATCGAAGCCGCCTTGTTCGAAGACCAACCCTCGAGAGAGAGGATGCTTTCTGGTATGCATCTACGTCCAAGATTCATATTCGCCGGCGCGTCGAAACCGCCAACGAAGACCAGCAGGTCGCCGATCTCTACCGCATGGGGCTGCTCTACGATAATGACGAGCAGGATCGCGGCGGCGGCGGCGACAGCTTCAACTTGAACAGCATCAGGCACGATGAGCCACTCTACCCAATCCGCCCGGCCAGGCGGACGCGAAAGCACAAGGCCGCCAAGGATGGTTTCGCAGACCAGGCCTTGCACCTCAACTTGTCCTTTTCCGACCTGGGCGACGACGACGTTCTTGCCCAGTATCTCATGGCGTGGACTCGGCCGCATGCCGACGAGGCGATTCAACATGCGCCCCGGGAGCTGGCCGAGTCGCAGCCTCCCCTGCGTGTTATTTACGAACTTTCAACTTCACAGCCTTCTTTCGATATCGATACGTCGCAACCCCCGGAGTTGGTGTTGGACGCTCTGTCAGACTACGACTGCTTCTCGGACGGCGAGCTAGACGACACACCTTCCCAGCGGGAGGTGCAGGAGCATGCGGACAATCCGCCTGCAGATTCTTGGGTCATACTGGGCGACGACTCGTAACAGGTCCGCCGATGGGATCCCCCCGTGTGCCGCTGGGATTTCGGCAACAGTACATATATTGTATGGAGAGATTTATAGCGATATGAAGCTCTTGGTGGGAACGACTCACCTCGGACTGGTCCTCAAAAACCTAATATGACTACGTTTACTGGAGGATAGATTCTGGCTTTGGAACGAGAAGAGAGTCTGGTATTCTTTTTTTTATTTTTTACTTCTACGGGGATGGGTTTAGATGGGAATGCAATCCTGCTTGGCAACTGTATTACCACAAGTTGCATCGAGTGCTTGCTGCTGCAGAAGCAAGCGTGTCATGAGCATGATTCTTCTTTCTTGTATACTAGCCTGGTCTGCGTGTACGAGTTGGCCCGTCTGAAGGAAAGAACTTTACACATAGAGTGTCGCGGTCGCTCTTGGTCCAAATTAGTCCTAACAATGCATGCATTTGCTACATTGGTGAATTTTTCTTTATGCATGAGTGATTGATGCGGCGAATCCCGAAAAGGAACAAACGTCCCAGGATGTGTCCGATTGTGTGCTGGATCTGGGCTAAGACCGTCCAATGGTTGTTGGTAGAGTGAGACCTTTGTCTCTCGGCACACGCGCCAAGTCCATCGTTTTCTGGGGCTGAGACGAAGGCGCGTTCAATTGCACAAGTAGAAATGGACGCGTGCTGGAAAAGAAATCTGCTTTTAGTGTAGGGTACTTGCTCGCAAAACGTCTGGGTGTAGATGCACCTGTCCCTGCTGCACTCCATGCCATTCTATTTCAAGCCGTACTTCTTTCACGCAAGGAGTCTGGTGTTGGTAACGATTAGTAACATTTAAAGTGGTTTGAGCGGATGAGCTGTTCCAGCGGCGGATCTAGTTCATCGAAGAGCTGCAAATGACCATGTCCAATTACAAGCAGAGCGTTGTTGACGGGTCAGAGAGGTTGGAACAAATACTTCCTCTGAGAGCGATGGACACATAAATAATATTTAGACCAGACGTCTTTCTATGGTCCCTGTTGGGTGGCAATGCCGCCGTGACATGCCGAAATGCCATGTTCCGTGTAGGATGAACGCCGTCAAGACTCTCTTGCCCTTGTCGTTGGTCTTGCTGGGTATTCACAAGTTATATGAGCTGGGACAAGAACCCCAGGTGCCGTCACTGAGGAAAGGTACTTAAGTATGAACGCCAGGAATATAAACTATTCACTAGACGTATCCGGGCCCGTGGCGCCACATGAAGGGGAAATCATCATTGGACCCTTTGGCGAGAATTCACGTGCTTTTTTCTGTATTTTCACATACGACTCGAGTCTCGTCGTGTTTTCGCGACTGTCATCTCTTTATAAGAATGCAACAAACATAACTTGTACACTGTCATTTCTGTGCCGAGTCATGATATCTCTCAGTGAAGTCACGTACTCCTAGGACACCAGGGTGGCGGCCGTACGTGACTACATATTTCTAACTCAGGTGTATCTTGATGAAAACTTATTAAGGAACCACTTCAAGATGGCTGGCTATCTACTACTCCCGAGATCATGCGTGGCCTGGCCAAGACGGATCAAGTCATATCACTACTTCGCCATCTGCCTGCCCTGTTGTTGTATGTTTGCCGACCGGAAAGCTCGACAAGGCACTGGACACTAGTAATTTCGCATACATTCTCTCCCAGACTCGCTTATTCGTAACAAAGTTTAGAGGGAATGCCTTTGCTGGTATGGCATGTGTCACCGGCGAATGGCAGATCGTGTGGCAATGACGATCCGCCGGCGCTTCTGCTTACTCTGGTCAGTCGACTGATGACGAGTACTGATGAGAATGGAAACATATTCAACGCATGAAGAAGTACGACACGCAATTCTCCACTAATAAGGTGAAACGGCGACCATTGCGATGCCCACCGCCGAGGTCCTATGTCTTCGGGGAGTGGTGATGGAGTCACCGAGGGAAGGGACATTTGAATTCTTCTAACAAACCCCGATGCACTAGGCTGAATATAGCGTTTGTACACTTTTGAATTACTCTACATATGTACCTATTTTGGATAGGACCAGACACTCGGGACATGGACTGCTTGCCGTCGCCACGGGCTGCACTCGTGTAGTTGATGGCTGGGATTATGAGGGAGGCCCAAAGGTCAAGTCGCGCCCTTCCACAAGGCTAAATACATGTCTCGTGGTTGCAAATCAGGCCATCTTGGGACATACTATGTGCGTCGGCCGGCTTAAGCACACACCTCAGTGCTCGCTTATAATTTGCCCCGGTAGCCCCAGCTTTGCATGTTTCCAGATTTCGCATATCACCGATGCTACACCTCCCAGGGACTCAAGGACAGTCAAAACAAATGTGGATTGAATACGAGCGATGTAGACTTTATGGGCAGACGAGTAACTGTTCCGAGTAGGCCAACCTTGCCAGGCCTGCTCTGGGTGCGGACAGTCTCGCTTCCTACCAATGCCTCTCCGATATTTCGACGCTATTCACGTCGACACCATTCTTGTACCATCGCTCCTCCTCGGCAATCTTGACGTCGTTTCCACTCATCTGGCGCTTCCTCATCAAGCCATTGTCGGCAAACGTCCAGTCCTCGAGTCCGTAGGTGCGCCACCACTGGCCCGACTCATCGTGCCACTCGTACCAAAACTGCACGGCGATCTTGTCGTCGGTGAAGGCAAACAGCTCCTTGCGCAGGCGATATCCCTGCTCCTTGTCCCACTTCTTGGAGAGGAATTCCCTGATGGCATCGCGGCCGACGAGAAACTGGTCGCGGTTGCGCCAGATCGAGTCGGGCGTGTACGCCATCTTGATGACATCAGGATCCCTTTTGGCCCTTAGTTTTTGTCTTTTCCGCAGGCCTTGATAGACCCGGGTCGAGGGACCAGGCGGCCGCCACTTACTTTGTGTTCCAGGCATCCTGTGCTGCCTTGACCTTGATCCTGGCCGTCTCGGCGGTAAACGGGGGATAGGGCGGCTTGCCTTGTTGGCTCATCTTGACCTTGCTGCGAGGGGAGTTTGTGCTTTGGCGAGAATTATAGATGGGAATCAGTGTATTTGGAGAGCGATTTGCCGAAGAGGATGGCGCATGACGCTGCTTATATACCTTGCAGTGTGCACCACTGCCACTATACTGCCTGTCGGTGTTTGACGGCGTTTGACAAAAGGGCGTGATGTCGTGTCGGGCTCTGGATCTAGATCAAGAGCCACATCAACCATGCCCGTTGACGATGATGAGGGAATTAAGTTTGGAGGCCGAGTGCGTATGTGCCAGTGAGGGGCACCGGACATGTGCCTCATATCTCACTCACCGGACTTGTCAACCTCTCACCTCTCGCCACCGCCATGTTTCCCGTTGGAAGCGTGGCTCTTGTTGCTGAACCTTGAATCATTGTTTTTACCAAATACCGATGCCCTGGTCGACCCGGAACTCACCAGACAGCCAAGGTTGTCGCTCAATACGCCGCCCTCGGCCAAGAATTTCCCCATCACGGTCAATTGACCCCCCTCGCCGCCTCCCCTCGCCGACGCGCCCTGCAGACACACATCGAGGCCAGCGCCGACTTCACCGTGTCACCTTCATAGACGGACAGGTCACAGGAGCGAGGGGGGCTTCCTCGCCCTGCGAACAGACAAGGTTCTCCAACCAGACGGGCAAAGACGACTAAGCTCGCACTGAAAACACTTTCCGACGACGAGGGCAGCCACGTCGTCTGTGTTTCACACGGCGGCCACGTCCAACTGCCAGACGATCACGAGGGCGTCTCCCTTCAACGCCGCGTGTCCCATGTCGTCGTGATCCGGGGCAAGCCTGGGATTCACTTCCATCGTCCGGCCGGTTCACCGCGGCAAACCGCACCCATTGCTCGCACTTGACCACCTTGTCAACGACGTCTCGGGCTCGCACGACGTGGCAGCCGCGCGAAACAGACGAGACCCGGCGACGCACAAGGCAAAGCCAGACCCGGCCAACGGCCGAGGAGCGCGCCACGTGGACAGGGCAAAGATTCAGAGACTTTGCGCCTCGTACGGGATTCAGAGGCCCTTGAGTTTGCGACTCGTGCCCTCGTCGCAAAGGCACGGCAACGTGTTTTGTCCACGGGCACCCATCTATCTGAGACCAAAAGTTCAAAGCACGCGAGTCCCAAGCGAGTCAAGGAATGAAACAGCCTCGTCTGCTCCCGTACCAAGTTCAACACGCGCCTACTCCGTTCCCCTAAATTGATGCTTACAATGGAAATACGTCCTGGAAAGACTCGTCACACGAAAAATGAAAATTAAAAAAAAAAAATTACCAAGGCCGCCTCACCGGTCCTGGCATGCACGTCACGCTCGGCAATCGCAGCATCCCCATTACAACTTGACCCTTGCGCGACGATGTAGCCGGTGCCGAAATACCCATCGCTGTGCGACCGCGGGAAAAAAACACCAATTTCAATAGAATCCCGAGCGCAGGTCGTACATACATACATGGCACAGACACATGCTTGCTTCTTTACGACCGCGCCGCCTGATAGTCCGTGGGCCGGCATGACAAACCACACAACCAAGTGGCCGTTGCGGCTGCATGTCTCGAGCAAGTTTCTTCTTTCGGCAAGCAAGGTGGTTTTTGGCGGTCCATGTCTCGCCTCTCAAAAGCAATCCAGGCGGCACATGGTGTCATTCATCTGCAATTGCTTTGTTTGAGCAGGATTTCTCTCTCAACCCGACCCGTGTGGCGCTCAGCAGCAGTAAGCAGCCTGCCAAGGGATGAGATGTGCCAGCACTTCAAGGGGTGTCAAGAGCCATGAGTATTGATTTCAATTTTTTTTGCAAGTCAATTCTATGTGCTAGTTGAAGAAAGAATTACATTGTAGGAGACTGAGACTGTTGTAAATACCGCTCGAAACTTTGTACGGGAAGCGCAAAAGAACCGGCGCAAATGTCACGTCTAGACACTGGCCTTGATAAAGTCGGTAATCGCCCTATACACATCCGGCGCGTTGTAGTTGTAATTCAGGCCGTGGCCGGCATTGGGCACCACCGTGGCCTGGAAGGCAGCCGCCTTTTTGAAGCTGTCCCTGGAGTACTCGACCAGGTTGGGGGCAGAGCCGTTGATGGCCATGGTGTTCATGCAGTTGCCGCCGCAGAAGGGGATGTCGCGATCTGCCAAACGTGTCAGCTGCTGAAATGTACAGGGGACAGAGTCTATCAACACTTACCACCGGTGATGATCATGACGGGGCCGGGAAACTCGCTCGACTTGGGCACGGAGCCGACGGTCAGCAGCTCTCCCACGGCGGCGGGCTGGCCCGTCTGGGTAGCCACCTTGAGCACCTCGGGGTCAAAGTCGCCCGGGCCAAAGAAGTTGATGTGGACGCCGATGCTGTCCCTGGGCGCAATGTAGCCGGCGGCGTATTGCCTGGCGAGGAGGCGGTTGTCGGCGACGGGGGCAAAGTTTGCGCCGAGCGCAAAGTAGGCCATGAACTGGGGCACCTGGCTGAAGCCGGTGAGGACGATGGCGTCGGTGATGTCGGGGTGCAGGGCCGTGAGAGCGTAGGTCATGGCCGAGCCGAACGAGTGTCCCAGGTGGACGGTCTTGTTGAACTTGTGCGCGATGCCGCTCAGCTGTCCGTCCCGCGCCGTGTCCGTCAGGGCCTTGAGGGCCGCGATTTCGAGAAAGATTTGAATCTCGTTGACAGGATCGCCGTGGGAGGAGTGGCCGATGCCCAGGCGGTCCCAGGTGAGGGTTGAGTAGCCGGCGTCGAGGGCCCGGTTCACGTAGCTGTAGTTGTAGTTGGCAAAGGGAAAGTCCCAGTAGCTCCGGTCGAAGCCAACGCCGTGCGTGAGGATCTGGAGCGCGTGGCCGGGGCCGTTGTCGGGCTCGCAATACGTGGCGGCGAGCGTGTAGTTTCCCGACACCGTCTGGTACTGTACCGGACATTGGTTAGTGATGGCGACGGGCGTTGGGCACTTGACTTGTAAATGTCAACTGGTAGCTCTCACTCCTTTCAGCACGTTGGCGGTGCCGTTGTTCCCAGGCCACGCCATTCTCAAGAACAAGTTGGTGACGTCGATGTCGGTGGAAGGGGCGGCCATGTCGAAAACACCATTGCGCGAGCTGATGGAGACTGGGACTGTGATATTCTGGCACTGACGGGCCGAAGCCACGGCGGCCAGTATCAAGATCAGTCCCGGCTTCAACATGGTTGTGTGGTGTGTATGTGTACTGGGTGAATTTTTTCCAGACGACGGCTCTGAGTCTCAGTACGGAGTGGCAGCTGACTCAAAAAAACAAGAAAAAAACAAATATACTAATGGTACTGGAGAACTGGAAAGGGGGATGAGATCTGGGACAAGGGTGTGAATCAAGCTGCAGACATGGTCTTCATATATACTACTAGTAAACGATGGTCGTGGCTGCCGTGACTTGGATCTGATATAGTCGTCATAGAGTCATGCCGGGTCTGATGGGGCCATGAAGAGTCAACCGTTCGTCCTGTTGCCATCATCTACACCAAGTGGACACGACGACAAACGCCGAACCACGCTTGGCAGCAGAAAAGTGCGACCCAACATGCACCTGGACGTCGTGTGGTTTGCACCTTCTTGCGATGTCTACGACACGAGACTCCACAACAACTTGGGGCTTGTCAACGACGGGTACAGGACACCCGGCTGAGAAGGCTCCGAGAAGCTAGACGCTCTACTCGGCAGGTATAATGGAATCGAGAAGAGAGCTTCGGCAAAGAAAGTCTTGACTTGACCCTGTCGAAACGGGGCCAGCAAGGTGCCTGCCCGCCGGCCAGAACATCCGCCTGGGTACCAAGCTATTGTTCGTGAAGAGCTCTGTGCAGTCAGTCCCCTGCGGCCCCCCTGTCGAGTTGAACCGGAGATTGCTGCAGTCTGCAGTCTGCGCGACGAAAAGGTCTGTGTGTTGCGTTGGCACTTTGATACTCGGTAGTTACTAGAGTAATACATACAGTATACCGCCCCGTCATCTGATCACTACGCTGCGCGGGCCGACTTGCTATGGAGATGTCATAAATTCATAATGACAAATGCAAGCTCGCCCATAGCCATCGGGCGAACTGCAGGTTGAATATCGGCATGTACCCGGCAGATCACGATCAGAGCCAACAGCCGTGGATCCCGGACGACAAGGTGGAGAGCAGCCGAGGCCCCGGATACGTCAAGTCGGGCCCAAAGCTGGGGAAGACGCTCGAGTTATGGGCTAAAACGAAAAATTGCAAAATGGGGGTTGCGCCTGGTTGTAAACAAGGTCCCGTTTTGCCGCAAGCGCCTTGCGCCGTCACGCCAACGGCCCATGAGCTCCGCGAGTCCATCATCTATCCGTACAATACGTGCCTCTCCTTGCTTAGAAACTGCGCTTGAACCTTCACAGTTGCCAGCCTTGCAATTTGCGTTGCGGGACCCTCGGACGAATATTCGACGAACCCAGCAGGTAGCGGTTGGACAAGGGATTGGGGAACCAGGGTCCTGCGCGCTCCGAGCGCTGTGGTCAACAGACTGCATTAGTGTTGTCTCACTTGGTCGAATTGCGGCCTTGTCGAGATCAAGATCTGCACTTCATCTTCATCGCCTAGGCCTGCGCGGTGGCCCAGAGCAAAGCTTGAAAGCGCGACTGCACAGCTGCTTCGCAGTTGGTCTTTGCTTCGGGGACGGCGCACGCACGGATCAAAGCTTCGAGGTGCGCTAATGAATTCCAAATCTTATCGTCGTCGTCGTGCCTTGGATGGCTAACGACTCCAACGAGGCTGCTCCACGACGCTGGTGACGGTGTCGTTGTCGTTGTTGCCGGGCTCCCGCAAAACAGAATACCGGCCTGGAGATGACAAAACAAAGCTATAGCTGTTGGATAAAGGACATCATAGAAGCGCGACTATGGCTTCATCCGGCTTGGTGCTGGCGTGAATGGGTAGAGCGGTACTGATTCCTCTGCCGTTGGCATGTTGACGCCACCGGTCACGGCATTGCACAGGTTCTAGTGCAATACAGAGCTTGGCGGGCAACATCGAATGAATGGTGCGCTGTTGACGAAAACTACAGAGTATTGTACAGGGCACATATGCCAAAATTCGCGTCTGAGGTCATAGACAAGGCTGAGGTGGTGGAACCTGCAGAATAGTCCGCCGGCAGGAGACAAATCCGGCACCCGGATGGTGTCCTGTAAAGTAATCAACATTTTTTGCATCGGGGGAGAATGCGTTCATCATGACGAAGTCGGAATAAACTGTGGTCTCGCCAGCTACCGTGTTCAATTGCACCGACGCGGAATTATCTTGCTTTTTCTCCCCTCAATTCGAAGAGCGTGGGAATCAAGGCAGACGAACAAGAAACCACCACGTAAGAACCTTGGAAGGAAGGAAGCTCCGACTGTAAAGGGTGGTCACGTGATGCGGGTTTTAGCCTCGCGCGATGCCCACTACATCGCACACTGCCAGCTTCTCAGTCTTGCAACTAGTTCTCACAACGATCAATTGATATTTGTGATCAATCATCCAGTTCAATGACATTGTATTCAATGGGTCGCCGCCATCTGCAGGCATCTAGCCGTTGCTTTCTCTTCTCCTCGCACAAGGAAGATGTACAATACGGAGGACCTAGGTAGTTGGGCTACTCCGCACTCTGTCGTTATTTTCAACAACTGAGACAACGGAAAAAGGCATCCGAACCACATCAGCCCTTGTGCTGCTCCTGCGGCTGGCGTGTAACAAGGGTCATGTCTGCTGTGCTGTGGTTGAAGAAGAGGGACCAACTTCATCAGTCGCATAGTCTGATTCATCACAAGGGTTCTTTCTCTCACCGTTGTATTGGAATCATTCGTCTCCCCTCGTTCTCTGACCATGCAAGGCCCAGTCGTCTCGTCTGATTCTATTGAACCCCTCTCCTGACGACCTGTTGAGCGGAACCGGAAACCATCATCAGCCTACAGGGTTCCATGCATGCATATGCAGAGTTCCATATGCAAACTCGTGTGTAACTCAGATGAGAACCCACAAACCCAGATGCCATCTGATGACAAAACTCTGGCAGAATTTGACAGAAGCGGACGGGCTCTAGAAACCCCAAGGGTCTCGCGCGTCCTGCGCAGGAAATGGTTGTCCCTTAGACTACGGTGCTCCGACTCCTTGCAGCAAAGGACCAGAACAAGCCGGTACTAGTTTGCCAACCTGAACCTGAATTCTAGTCAGTAGATTCCGTCAACAGTGAACGAGTACTTCGTAACGGACGAGGCAACCACCACTCGGCAGAAATATGACAAAATGCACGACGGCGCCACCATCACTCAGTCCGTCGCCGCCAACGATTCAAATCGCCGACATGGCTCCTTCAGCTGACGCCGCACCAGTCATGTCGCGCCGTGGTTCAGTACTCAGTGGCACGTCCTTGCCAGACCCCTTCGAGACATTGAAAGTCGTCCCACAGCAAGCCAACGGCCATGAGTCCATGACCATCCGCTCGGGCCAAACCCTCGCCGGCTCGGCCGCCATCTGATCCAGTCTGGAAGGGAGCAAGGGCCGGCTTCGGGCCCGGAATCCTTCATTGACGCCGTGGCAATTTCGCACGCGTTTACGGACCACTGTCACACAGCGACGTTGGGCGAACTGCCGCCTTCAGCGCCCGTGTTTGCTGCCGATATCGCGGCAGGCCTCATTCGCACCTGGGGCCCTTCCAACTAAGTCAAGAAACGGGGTGGGATTATTGCACCGTTCATGCCATTGCTCACGACGAGCAACGACTGAAACACTCTGCTGGTGCATCGCTGCAGACTACTCGTCAGTTTCTAGAGCTTGGGTCGGAAGATGGCCTGCTTCTCATAGTGTGTGGCCGAGGGGACAGCAATCCTTTCTTGCCTGCCTTTCTTGCACCATGATTGTGTATAGGAGCAACTTGTCCCGTCATTTTCCCCCATTTACCCAATAACACGGCATGTCCCCGACTGAAACTTGGAAATGCGTACTCACACCGCGACACTTGTATTCCCCAAGTGACATTTATTGTGGAATACCTCGCCGCCAACAATGTCCATTAAAGCCCCAGCGGGCCTCAGTTTCTGACCAGGTGGTCCAAACCTCATCGCCCTGTGGATGAGATCTCTGTAGTTGTTGCCATGAGACAATTTCCCGAGCATCCGCTCCCTGCGTCTCAACGATCCTGTGCGAGAATTGGACGTCCAACAATAGCCTCGATGTCCTGCCAAGCAAACGTGACGGCCGACGGCAACTTTGCTTATACGAAAATCAGTCACCGCTGTGAACTTGTGATGCCCGTACGTGCTGCCGTGATGGCGCCTCCTCCCATGCTCAGTGTCGTTCTGACTTGGGCGGCTGTAGCGTTGAGAATGTGCCATATCGTCTGGTTATGGGAGGGGATGATGTCCACTTGGATATATCAATCTTCTTTCTGGTGAGGAAGTCTGCTGCCGCGGCGAGTGTCTCCACGGATGACGTTGACTTGGGCTATTTCCTCAGGCAAAGTTCAATGGTGGAGGATCATGTTCATGACGCGGGTTTTGATCTTGGGGTTGAGCCGTGTTGAGCCGTATATCAATAGTTCCAAAATGACTGGCTTGTCTGGGTCCTGCTATCTGAATCGGCATACAGCGCAGTCGATTGCGTCCTTGATATGGTTAGTTGGCACGACATTGTTGGCGGTGGAAACTAGAAAATTGTCAATACCATTGACGTTCGGCTGTCAGGTCCAAAGCCCAACTCTGCTCAGCACCGTTGGACAAAAACACGATCCATAATGTATTGCTAATATATAAAGATGGAGGGTTTGTCTTTAAGTTTCGCGATCGGGCTACACGTCACACACCTATCTACCTAGGTATGGGAACACTCGGGGTGAGAAGATGAGGTCAAAATATTCATCTTCCGAAAACTGAAATGGCAACCCGGGCTTAGGAGGCGAAGCTTCCTTTGGTCCGAATTATTGAACCAGACTGCCATTGATCAAGCCAGTCGATGGCCTGTGCCACCAACGCAAACCGATGCAGCGGTTATTGGATATCCATACGGAGTACATGCAACATTCAGTGTGTCTTTCTGCCTTTTAGGCGACCGGCATAATCATTACATATGTATGTAGAGTCTTTCAGCGCACGGTCTCACTGGCCACGTCAGTATTCGCGGCGTACTACTTGCTTTTGCTATAAAAGCAAGCGGTCGCTGTGGGGGAAGAATTCGCTCCCAAGACAACTCGTTTAAAAGTTTCTAAGGAAGTGGATACCGATATATTTGCTAAAAATCGACGAGGTGCATCGCTTGCAAAGTAAGACCTTGGGAGGTCTGTCATTCGGGGAAAATTAGCCTCCAGTAGCCTCTTGCGTCTTGAGTCTTGACTCTTGATCTGCACCATCGAGAAACCCCGGCTCCATCGATTGTCTACTTAACCTCACGTATCTCTTTCATTTAGTCGTTATTTTCCCCGTCGGCATCAAGGTATACTCCAAGGCTTGGACAAATGGCAACAGCAGACCATCGTGGGCTCATACACCCAAAAGACAGCATGGCATGCCTCCAAGATCAATCAACCCCGGAGACGGACGCCGAGAGAAGTGCCTCGCCAATAACGAGCAAGAACAACCACCACGAATCCGACAAACGAGATGCGTCGGCCGAGGATATTCTTGCGCGGCAGGACTTGGATCCCGGAATGGACAAGAAGATGCACCTGGTGAACAATGTGAGTGTCCCCCCAAATAATCCCACAGCTTAAAACCTGGCACGGTGTGCTCACGCACCCATCCGCAACAAGACCCTCGACGAGATCGGATGGACAAACTACCACTGGAAACTCTTCTTCCTCAGCGGCTTCGGGTACGTCACGCCCCCTCGACTCCCAAGCTCAAGTCCCCAATCCTCACGACGCGCAGCTTCTCCGTGGACGCGCTCCAGCTCAGCCTCCAGGGCATCATATCCGTCCAGGCCGTGCTCGAGTTCCAGCCCTCCTACCCCAAGGGCCTCACCATCGCCCTGTACACGGGCATGCTCGTCGGCGCCCTCTTCTGGGGCCTCTTCGCCGACATCATCGGCCGCAAGACGGCCTTCAACACCTCCCTCCTCATCTGCTCCGTCTTCACCGTGGCCGCCGGCGCCGCGCCCACCTGGGCCTCGCTCGGCTTCTTCATCGCCGCGGCCGCCTTCGGCGCCGGCGGCAACCTGATTCTCGACACGGCCGTCTTCCTCGAGCACCTCCCCTCGAGCAAGCAGTGGACGGTCAGCTGGCTGTCGGCCTGGTGGGGAGTAGGATGCACGATTGCCGGCCTAGTCGCCTGGGGCTATATGCGTGAGCGTTCCGCAGCCCCCCCTCGTTAATGTTTTCTCTGCCTTGGCCCCTTTCTGACCCTTGCCCTTGAGGTTGGATACACAGCCGCCTTCTCCTGCGCGGCCGCAAGCGACTGCGCGAGAGGGGACAACCGCGGGTGGCGATACCTCATGTACACCATGGGCGGGCTCATCCTGCTCCTCAGCGCGCTCCGCGTCACCGTGATCCGGCTCCGCGAAACGCCCAAGTTCCTCCTGGGACAGGGCAAGGACGCCGAGGTGGTCCGCGTGCTCGGGGAGCTGGCGGCGCGGTACGGGCGGCCCTGCTCCCTCGGCGTCGAGCAGCTCGAGGCCTGCGGCGCCGTCGGCTTCGCCCACGCCCGCAGCCGCTTCTCCCTGGGCGAGTTTGCCATCCACGCCCGCGCCCTGTTCGCCACCGGCAAGATGGCCCAGACTACCGTGCTGCTCTGGCTGTCGTGGGCCATCATCGGCCTGGCGTATCCCCTGTTCAACGTCTTCCTGCCCTACTACCTCGCCAGCAGGGGCGTGCAGTTTGGCGTCGCGGGCACGTACCAGACGTGGCGCAACTATGCTCTCGTCCAGGTATGCGGCATCCCTGGCCCCGTGCTAGGCGGCCACATGGCGAATTGCCGCGTCTTGGGACGCCGGTACACCATGGTGGTTGGCGCCGTGGCCACAATGGCCTTCTTCTTTGCGTACTCGCAGGTTGCGTCTCAGGAGGCCAGTGTTGCGTATAGCTGCGTCATCTCCTTCACGCTCGAGATTTACTATGGCGTCTTGTATGGGTACACGGCGGAGACGCTGCCTTCTGCTCATCGTGCTACGGGGAATGGCATTGCCGTCGCCTTTTGTCGATTGACTGGGGCCATGTCTGCTGTTGTGGCGACGTATGCGAACCCGGCGACTGTCGCGCCCGTCTTTATTTGTGCCGCCTTGTACGGGGGGTTGGCGGTATGTGCATTCTTGCTGCCCTTTGAGTCGTATGGGAAGCGGGCTTCTTAAGGATGCGTGTTTGGCCTCAAATTGGGGCTTGAACGAAGATACGCTTGGCTGCTGTTGCCCTGAATACCTAGGTAGTTGTAGATGGTCAATAGATTGCAGACTGATATCCCCATGAACCGGGTACTGGTGATTTGATTACTCGCACTTGTTTATAGTAGAGAAACCAGTTCCATTTACATCGTATACGGAGTGGATACAATGTATATAGACCAAAGTGACATGCTATCACGCAAGCAATCATGATAACAGCCATCTGCGAGTCTCCATAGGCAGATAACAAACATGGACATACAAGAGTCTACAATAACCTTTGCCCGGCAAGTTGTCCTTGCCATCCTATTCAAACATGTCCCAACACAAATCCATTCCATCGAGTCCATCAGAGCTCATCCTTCTCGTCCAAATCATGGTGCAACTGAGACACCAATCCAACACCCGCAAACATACCCATCTGAATAGCCTGTACAGCGCTCTTCATCATGGTGGCCGCATCTCCCGCGGCGAAGCATCCCTCCACACTCGTCTCATTAAACGGAGCCGTAACCACAATATCCCCTGTCGGCGCGCATTCCAACCCCAACTGCGCCGCAAACGGCGACTGCTGTTCAACCAGGGGATGGTTTGTAATAAAGCCCTCCCTCTTGCTGGTACCGTCTGCAAAATGAACAATCACACCCGGTCCCGAACCATTCTCCAGTTCCAGTCTTGCGACTTTTCTGTCCTCGTACGTGATCTTGCTGCTGTGCAGCATCGATCTGACTTGCTCCAGTAGAGAAGGATTCCCGTTGGTGTAGACCGTGGTGCTTTTGGCGAGGCGCTTAGCCATGAGTGTTGCGTGCGCAATCATCTCCGCGGCCGTCAGCATGCCCGATGCCAAAACCCCGACTGATTCGGCACCACGTTCTTCGAACCCGTGGCAAAACAAGCAGTGAAACCTGGCAAATAATCGGAAATCAGTATCAAGTACACCGGGGTATCGAATGAGTTTTAACCACACGGGGGTTCCTTACACGCCGCGTGCCCAGCAGGCATCGTAGCCCTCGATATCTGTGGGGGGCACATCCCTCACTCCGGTACCCAAGCCGAGTTTCTTTCCGGTGTACTTGTCTCCCTGGTCGTCAATTGCCTCGAAGATGCCGCTGTCCAACTTGCGCACCTCCTTGATCGTGGCCGCCTTGAACTCGATATGCTCATATCTCTTCCTCAGGTCCTCGCAGACTTTTGTCCTGAAATCGACGGGATTCACATGATCAAAGCCAGGCACGTTGTGCATGTGTGTTGCCCTTGCGTTGCGGTACTCTCCAGAATCTAGAACCAACGCAGAGTAGGCCTGTCTCGCCAAAGCTATGGCCATGGATAGGCCGGCTGGGCCGCCGCCAATAATGAGAACGTCGTACAACTTGGGGCTCATTTCTGGCAAAAACGAGTGGCAGTTGGTGGTCAGGTATGAAGAACGAGTTTGGAGAATCCTGCATTGCTAGCCGTGAAGCGCGGCTTTTATCGAGGACGGCGGCGGGAGCCTCTCGGCCTCTTTTTCCGCGCCGGACCGGGAAATGTGGGCCACTTGTTAAAAGTCTCCGGGACAAGTCTCCGGCGAGGCCATGGCGCGTTGGACTGGCCGACAAGGTTGCTTTTCTCGCTCGTATCAGATCTGATTGCGGCTCAAAGAGTAACCGCAGATGAGTCACAGGGCAAACGGAAGTATGACACAATCTCTTCTGTCAGCTTCGTCAGTCAGTGCGCTTCAGCTGGTCGAGGTGCTTCTCATCGCGTATCTAAAGAATATTCCACTGTTCTCCAGTAAAAAAGCATTTTACGCGATTAGTGCGTAAAACAGAAGTTAGTATGATTCAGGATACGGGTTCACCTGCCCAACCCTACCGACCGTATGCCAGCAAGCCATGCCGTGCAATATCGACAAAGTCGCAACGCTCTTGTATCCTCACCCTGGCTATGAACTCTCCCTCTTCATAAGTGCACATGCAATGAATCATCATTTCGTCTCTCATTCCACGCCCGTCATCCACGCGGCCAAGTCTCGCAACGAACGCACCCTGACAACCTCAAGTTCGGTAAACAGGGCATTGACGCTTTTGGCAGGGCAGTCCTCCAACTTGGGAATCTCCATGGCCCTCCCCTCGACATCAAGCAGTACCGGATTCCAGCCTGCATTCGTAGCGCCCACAACATCCCTGGCATACTCGTCACCGACGTAGATTTTCTGCCAGCTCTCCAGCTCAGCGGAGGTCGGGGCTCGCCCAGACCGGCTGGCGATGACACGGCTCAGCATGAGCTCAGCCGCCTGAAATATCCGCCGGTCCGGCTTCTCGACGCCTACATCATACGACATGCAGTGAAAGTCAATGTCGTACTCCTCCTCCGGCGACACGGGCGGCCCGCCTGGCGTGCCGTAGCGCAAGGGACTGACATTCAGCCCAAAGGAAGAAAGAATGCTCGGCACCCTATCGTCTGAATTCGTCACCACGCCCACAATGACCTGCTCGAAGCCCTGTCGAGCTTTGCGCTGCCGAAACGCCCTCAGCGTAGAAAGGAGACTGCTCTCCGCAGCGTATCCCTCGTTGGAGGCGAATCGATGTATGAGCTTGGGAACCAGAGCCGGCGGTAGGGCTTGGTTATGTGGGATGAACGGTTTGAAGGTCGCCTGGATCACCTACTTTCGCGTTAGGAGGCAGCGGTCGATGTGTCTAGGGCACACCGAGGCCAGATGGCGAGACTTACATTCGTCCACCACCGAGTGGCGCCAAGTCCCGTATCCTTGCCATAGTTTGGATTCCTCTCCCTTTCTTGATTGATCGCTGCTGATAGGCGGGACTGCAGCTCGTCTTGGGTGAAGCTGGTGACGCCGCATTGGTGTGCGACCTGGGCATATTGCTGGGCCACGGACGCCTTTGGGCTAAACAAGGTGCCGAACGCGTCGAAGCACAAAAGAAGATTTCGCTTGCTCATGGTCGGGATAGGCCCGTGCGTGCTGGAAATAGAATCGGCCAGTCCTTTTTCAGCTGACCGATGATGCTTGTTGATGCAGAGATGGGGATCGGTGAGCTGAGCAATGTCGCGTTAGGAATTGAAGAACAGCCCCACAGCTGGACGGTGACATGACATTACCTAGGCACTTTCATAATATTATACTTGTGATATTGTGACATATTTGTTTATATTCATCTTTTTTTATCTTCTTCTATTTTTTCTTACCAAGTTATGCTTTATTTTATTTTTTATCATGTCGCCAGCCTAGCGCCCTTGGTCATGCGCAGCCTCGACGGGCACAGCACAGAGCCGCACATGCATATAACATAGAAGGTAGAAAAGTGCTTCGAGATGGCAGCAATGCATGTACGAAACTCCTAGGACTCTGATTGCCAGAAATCCCATGGTGCCTGTCCGATGTCGGGCCTTCCATGTTCTTCCTTGTACTTCCCTTCTGAGGCAGGAGCGTGTGGTTCTTCTTCCTCAACTTTGCCCGAGGCAGGAGCGTTGGCTGGTTGGAACGAAAGTCTGGTATTTTTTGAGCCTCCTCATCACTGCCACACCAATCGCTCAACCAGCGTCATTCCGGAGCGATGAATTCCTGGCCCATACTCCGGCACGGACCGTACAAGACATTACAGTGTGAGTCAAACCCTGCAATGTCCACGTCGACGTCTTGCAAGTGAGGTGCAACTTGGAACGCAGTGACGTGGATTCTGCGCTGCTGCATGGCACAACCGGCCGGACTCAATGCCCAACCCGACCAATGACTCGATTCAGCTTGGTTGCCTATCCCTCCTTGGGCGAATTGGGGAGGTGTCTGAGAGCACACAATTCGGGATCCGCGCTGCGAGAGTGGAGGTTGGTTGGCATCGTATATACCAACGACGACTTGGAAGACGACTTCACCATGAAGGAGAGAACCAGTGAACTTGCTGTTCTCGAGTCAGTCACTCCAAGGTTGCTCGACGTATAATTTTGATGCTTCGTGAACCTTGCCCGCTATAGTGTAGCATCGTGGCGGTGAGGTGCACGCACCATCTAGCTTGTTGGGTGCTCGATGCCATCACCATTACCATTCGTTCTCGTGGCCGATGCCATCCATGTTTGTGCCGGGGCCAACAGGGCGTTCCTCTTATACCACGCCTCTCAACCGAGTTTCAGGCAAGTCGGGTACCTTCAAATATACTTTCCTCTTTTCAATTGCCTACTGATCAAGTTTACCTGGTTTGTCGAAGACATGTGTCCGGTCACACCTAACATGCTTAATGCGCGACGCGAAAAGGATTGTTTCATGATTACGCATGAGCGCAAGTATTACAGCCTCAACAACTCGTTTGTCAAACGCAGCCTTCGCCCATCTGAATGGCAGCACAATCCGTTCGACGGTACGCTGAGCATACCTCGCTTTGGCAATGAGCGCCTCTTGAATGAGGGCGCTACATTGCGATTCATTGCTGAAAATACGAATATCCCCGTGCCAAAGCTCTATGGCTGCTTTGAGGATGACAACGCAGTATACTTGGTCACCGAGCTTATCGAGGGCGTGGAAATGGCTGCTCTCGAACCAGCGCAGCGCAAAACGGTTGAATTAGAGCTGGAGGGCTACGTAGATGTTCTAAGAGGGTTGAAGTCCAGTGTATGGGGAGGACCCTCGGGAATTGTAAGCACTCACACCTCCCGTTTCTCATTCCTCAGTTTAACATTTTCTGTACAGGTTATTCCACCGTACCGGATCATGGCAAAATCGCACCGTCAAACCTGGAAGATGAAGCCGAGGGAGTCTAGTGACCTTGTCTTCTGCCACAACGACTTCTCCGCGCATAATGTCATCGTCGACCCAGTGAGCCTCAAAGTTAAGGCGGTCATTGATTGGGAATACGCTGGGTTTTATCCACGGGAGTTTGAGTCTGAGTTTTTCCGACGCCCTGGGCCGTCAGTTGCGCTTGATGGAGAAAGAAATGACGTGGAAGAGCTTTTGGAAACCATGCATCAGAATGAGGAGTAGATTTATCGGAATAATCTCTACAGATAAATTTATATATTGACGAGCATCCCCCTTCATCCTGCCTTCACCATTCATCACCATGCAGCGTAACAGCTAGTCTCCTAGTACTTAGGTACCAGTCTTGGTGGTTGGCTTTTCTGGGATATTTATTCAGTGACAGTACTAAGTGTCGCAGCTTGGATGAGATGGCTTCCATACCCGTAGTTCCTTTTGTAGTTTCTTTCTTTTTGTGCATCGTCTCCCAAGGACATTCTGGTTGGGTAGAGGAGTAGATTTCTGCGCACGCTAAGCATTTGATAGCTTGAGAGGGCATTTTTGCTTCGTATTTCTTCTCAACTGAGGGTCAAAATATGTGTAGAGAATCTAGGGTAGTGAGTAATGTAGATGGATTGTGACGGAGATGATCTGAGGCCAGGTGTTGCCCAGGCTACTTTACATATTCCACTGATTACGGCCACAACTCGTCGTCCGCGATATCTGTTGTATGAAAACATCGCAACACCATAGCCAGGAGGAGCATATGCAAAGAACTGCGCATATGGATGCCGCCTGGCGCTTTGGCTCACAACCCCTTCACCTCGATCGAATGTTTGGCCTGGAATAGGTTCATCCTCCAAGCTCCCCATCCATCTTTTCCTCCCTTCTCAATCGTTTCCTTTCAACGACTGGTTTAGGAAGAATGCTGTCGTCTGCCTCGTTATGCAGACCATGAGTTTGCAAACCACTGCGCGCATCACGAGAACGTCTGAGCCAGCTTCGGTGTGGCAGGATGTTGCGTCTGATGTCAGTTTATACTGCCTCACGTCCGTTTCTGTAGGCATTCGCGGTATACGCCTGCAAGTGGCCCATGCATGTGTTCTGGGATAACACATCATCAGCATTGGGTCCTATGGTGGCACGCGCTCTTCGCAGAGCAAAGTTCCGCGGAGTGTCTAGCACGAAGAATAGAGAGGCCAAATTATCGAATTAGTGAGGAGCCAAGGAAGGGAGAGGACTTGGAACAAAAAGAGTTGCACTGACCAGGGCAGAATTGTTGTTATGAAAGTTCGGCCAACGGGTCTAGCAACTTGCAGGACTTGTCATGGACACCGAGGATGCCGTAACATCCGGGGTTTGGTTGTGATGTTGGTTGGATGCTCTACGCAGGTCAAACCAACACGCTGTTTTGGCTTCTCGGGCGAGCAAAATTCTCAACCCGAGTAACGCACTGAGCAATGGGTTGGTGAATAGACAAGGATGATAGGTGCGGACCGGTTGAGCACATTTTCTTCCCAGGACACGCAGGAAATCTTTTGAGGGTCCTGCTTCTGCAGTTATCTGGTTAGTAGCAGAATACGAAACGTTTTGGAGGCCACTTGAGAGATCGACTTCGGAAGAGAGCCACGGGTCTTGCAAAACAATGGTCTGTTTTAGCCTGTTATAATGCCTCTGAGGACTCCCTCCTAGCCAGCATTCTGCCAACGTGCCAGCACATAATTACGGCCAGGTGTTATCTTATTATACGAAACAAGCATCAGTTACTCTGCCCAAGTCAGGTTGCTATGTCGCGGCTCTAATTAACTCTGAAGGTTGACGTCCTTAGCCTACCTAGGTATGTACCAATGTACCTTGGGTGCGGGATCCCCACAATCATGGCGCGGGCCGGGCCACCCTGCTCAGCCTCTAACCATTCAAAGTTTGCAGTGGCATCAATCATGAGAATCGAAAGACATCAATCACATGCAGCTCGCTGCCAACCAGGCATCCGGACCACTCCCGGATGACTCAGGCAGTAGTTACTACTACTAGTAACTCAACCACCACGCCGAGGCGAGTGAGCCGGTGGACACTCGTGCTTCTTGGCCCACGCTTCGACCTGGGTACTATTTTCAGAGTGAAGAAGTAAACAATGGCCATGTACAGCCTCATGACGGCGTCGACGACCCAGTTGTTCCTCGGTGAATCGCCCGAGGCGCATCTACGCATCAGGTCCGCCAAGGCCGACGTCGTCATCAGGTGCTGGCCGTCTTGGAGGAGAGTCGCCATGTCGCCCTACGACCAACGCCCTTGGACGCTTCCTTGAACTGGACCCCGTGGCGCCTCAGCCCTCTCATTTCGGAAACAGGCCAGGCGAACGGTGCGAGCAATAACAATCCATCCCATGGATCCGACCTTGAACGCGAATGAGGGCAGGGCTTCTTGCAACATGGTAGTCTTCTCTATGCTCGACTGCTGTAGGGCCATGGTCCAAGAAAAGCCGGGTTACGGCCACAGCGTCAGCCTCGACGATGCCAGTTTCGCATTAGAATCGCAACATGAAGTGACTGCTGGTACTCCCAAGAAGGAATGTCAACTCCTAGATCAACGGGAGTTGGCGACGCAGTCAATGAGCATGAGAGCATCTAGCGCACAAAGGCCAAGAGGCAACTTGCGTTTTATCTCGCCCATCTTGCTTCAGACTCTCTATGAAAATAATATCATGTACTTGGAAGAAAAGCGAGACTATAAGCAAGCGATTTTGGGATTCACCATGTTGCGCTTTCTAGCCAAGGTGCTTCCGTACAGCTAGGCAGTCGCCGACAGAAACGCGACAATTCAGGTGAGGATGCATCTTGGCAAGTTTCCATCTTGTACAGCGCCGGGAACGTAGGTGGGACGCTTTCGGCTTGTTTGATCAAGTTTTCTGACTGCTGCCATCAATCAAACCCAAGCCCTAGGTTCTATGAGTACGACCGCCAGAGAAAGGGATCTGACGAGGATACCATGTTTTGGTGTTGCCAAAGTCAACCCGTTCTTGTCGAAATTTTCACCTCAAATCTCACCACTCAAGTATAGGGCCGTTGTTTCCCTGAGCTGTAGAAACGATATGCTAAGCAGTACACGTTCAACTCCTCCGAAGATGAATTACTCTCCGTACCCATTGCCCATTCCTCGTTGCGGGAAGAGAACATCACCATTCGGCACTGCTTCCTGACATGTGAGAAGCAGCAACTATTCGCACAGGTTTCCTGGCATAATAAGCACTAATAGATAATTCATTGGACAACATCGACATAAGTTCTTTTACTGCCTGCGTCCGGCACCATGTCCTGAAGGACCAGGTATATGATACCCGCAACATCATGTTTGGGTCCATGGTCCTACAAAAGTACCAGACGCCATCAAAATAAAAATAGGTCTGCCAAGACGACCGAGTACCCGGCCCGTAAAGGCCATGCAGCGGAGGCTCAAATGCCGAGTATTCTAGGAGCAATAGTAACGTTGAATCCTGCTCAAGAGAGTTTTGGACGAGGCTTTCCATGTCCCCCAGGTGCCTTAAGCCGCCATGAATCAGTAATCCAAACAGATGCTGATGTTCCCCGTGGCCCAGATCTCCCGCAGACACGAATTGCAGGACGCACAGACGTGCATCCTTTTTCGACTCACAAATTCTCTTCCGCCGCTTCGACAGCATGCTATTTTCGTCCAAACTCTTTGAGCCCTCCACCAAGATTCGGTGGCGTGTCGCAAGTCGAGCCTCATCAGGATCACCCAATAATCATGAATCCTGATCTTGGTCATCCATACCCCTTCTCAGCACTGCAGATTTGTCGCACAGTAATTAGGTGTGCCTCACACATGAAATCCCGTGGCGTGGTTTTGGTACTCTTTTGGTGTGACGAAATTTCATGGCCAGAAAAAAGGCTCAATCCGCAAAGAGGACGAGACTCCAGGACCGACAACCGAAATTACATATTTCCATCCACGGGCTCCTCGCCTTCCCGGTCGGATCCAGTGTCGATGGCCATTTACAAACCCCGGCTAGAATCGTTCTAGAGGCTCCCGAAACATCAGACGGCGACTAGAAACACCTCCCAAACACTGGGCCAACTTTGCCGTCTTGTTGTCCAGCTTCCCCGGCTTTTCAGGACTCATCTCCAACACATGCCGTTTAGCCAAGACGGCTGCGCACCAACTCCGTCTGAAACTCCCCACCTCGATCGGGCATCCATCCTGCTCTCCAAACACGTTTCATGAGTGTCTATCCGCACTTTAATGCTAAGCTTCTTCACTCGTCCAATCACATACTGAGCGCAGAGTCTTCAAGTTCTTCCCCATGAGCGTGAGGCCGTGCGACGCTGTTTCGAATGATGGGTTGCGTGTCCCCGTACTGTCTTTGCATGTTATTCATCGTAGCTCAGATAATTAAGTAAAAAGGCCCTCCCGTTTCTTCGTCTCCTCCTGCATCAGCTAGTCTGTACTCGCATTGTGCTCCGTGACCAGCCAGACTGGTCGCCGGCTTCATGTCGACTTTCCCCCCTTCGCCATACCGCGTATTGTCGCGATAGCACCAACATGTCGACGCCGAAACACAAACAAATACTCGAGTGGTTGGACGCGGTCGTCGACGGACTCGAAACAAGCGCAAACAACGTCGAGACGCAAGCAAACAGCGTGAAGCCGGGCTTCATCATCACGCTAACCCACGCGATACCTTCAGACGAGCCAACCGCGTTGCCAACCCCTCCTCAAGCACAAACTTCGACATCAAACACAAGGATTTCTGGCGTCTCTGCTCCAACGCCACTGACAAGCAATCTTGCGCAACTAGAGCCATCAAGCGCTGTATCACCGCGTCCGCCTTCAGTTTCGCCTGTGTCCCCGCCTTCATCCTCGGCTTCGTCTTCGGCTTCGTCCTCGGCTTCGTCCTTGTCCTCCGCATCGTCCATCTCCACGGGTCCACAAGCTTCAACGCCGCCGCCGCTGCTGGTAGCCTCTCCATCTCCCACGTCGAGGATAGAATGGCCAACTGGGTTGTCTGCAGCGCCCTCTGTGACCCTGCCCTACCTGCCGAGCACGACTTTTGCAACGCAGCCCATAGGTTCCCGTACATCGCTGGCCGGGCTCCCCGCGACAGCAAATCCCAACAATCCCAACAATCCATCGGAGGAGAATAAGGGCTCGCTCACTCCACAGGTGGCGACGGAGGAAGTACGAGATAGTAGTCGGGCCATAGGAATCGTGTTCGGCTCACTGAGTAAGCCCTCCTAGTTACTGCTGAAACTTATTCGAAAAGAAGAAGAAAAAACACTAATGCAGGTCCTTAGCTGGAGTTGCGGCCCTTGTCCTCGGCGCGCTGATATTGTATAAATGCCGAGGAAGGAGGAGGTCATCGTCGCAATTGAGGCAATTCGAATGACAACTGGGTGGTGCCACAACCAACAGGCGATTGCCCAACTGAAGCATCCGGGCAGTTCGACTCGAATCTGGCGGTATCGGAACAGGCCATGTGGCACAGTCTCTGGTGTTGGTGTATGGCGTACTACAATGGGACTCGTGTTGACGGTTGCACTTGGGAGACGGTATTATTGCTGTTGATGTCAGCGTACTCCGTACTGCGGCGTGGATTTATCGCTGGCTGGCTTTTCTTTCGATTCAGCATAGCAAGCGTGCCGTTTGTAATAGATGATCTTCCATTTGTCCCGCAGAAACCAATCAATCAATCACGGACAAGGATCAGTCGGGAACCCACATCTGCATGGTTGTGTTTCCAAAACAGTAATCCAGACTCCGTACCACCGCACCGCGTTCCGTGCTCGGGACTCAAATTGCACAAATTCCGCGGCTGGCATTGCAATTCTCGTTCCATGCACTCCCGATGCACGTCTAGTCAATCTTCCCCGACCATTTGCATCGTCCCCGAGCAATCCGCGGCCCCAGAAACAATACTACAGCCATATTATTCCCGCCCACGTCCACGAAGCCTGGGTACACTATCCGGCGCTGGCGGGGTCTATGACTAAAGACAATACAGCCCGTCGATACGCGAAATTTTGATCAAAGCTAAGGGTTTTAGAAGGTTGACGCGGTATAGTCTTCGATTCAAGTTTTGATTGCATTCTCTTAATGGCGTGAAAGAGGTGTCTCGAGAGGTGCTGCATCAGTCGGGTGACTCGGGTGACTCGGGTCGTTCTCCTGGTGCTTCTCCAGACTCCTACCAATCTTCGCTTGGCATTTATTCGACAACATGTCGGAAGAAACAGGTCCGCAGCAACGACGAGGCATCGTCACCCACGATGCCTCCGAGGAAACGCCTCTTCTCCAAAATGATCGCTGTTCAACCGCCAGAGCATCAACCGAATCTTTGAATCATTCAGAAAATGGCTCGACAAAGCCTGTCTCCGATTCAGCCAGCGTGGCAAAGCCGCTGCCCAAAGTTCAAATTGCCTTGCTGTGTTACGCTCGGATGATGGAGCCTATTGCATTCTTCTCCATCTTCCCCTATATTGCGCAAATGGTGAAGCGCAATGGAAACCTACCCGACTCGGATGTGGGCTTTTACAGCGGTCTCATTGAGTCCGTCTTTTCTGGAACGCAGACCGTCGTTCTCATATTCTGGGGACGACTTGCAGACAAGGTAGGCCGCAAACCCATCTTGATCTACAGCCTTTGTGGCCTGACGATTGGGCCGGCGTTATTTGGACTTGCCACAAGTATTGAGGAGATGGTTTTGTTCAGGAGCATTGCCGGCGTGGTTTCGGGGTCGAGCTTGATTATTCGAACAATGATTGGCGACCACAGTACGCCCGAGACCCAGGCTGTTGCGTTTAGCTGGTTCGCCTTTGCAGGCAATGTGGGCATCTTTCTTGGCCCAATTATTGGCGGTGCTCTGGCAGATCCTGCGAACCAATACCCAGGTGTGTTCGGCGGCATTGACTTCTTTGAAAACTACCCATATGCCCTTCCGGGTCTCGTTGTCGGCGCTATTAGCGTTACCGCTGCGCTGACGTCAATGTTCTTTCTCGAAGAAACCTTGAACACAGACGAGACCCTTGGTGAAAGCTTCAACAGCAACTCGGAAGACGCCGATGCTTCGAAAATGACGATATGGCAGCTTATCAAGGCTCCAGGGGTCGGTGTCGTGTTATGGATTTATGGCCACGTCATGTTTCTTGCGTTTGCCTTTACAGCACTTCTCCCAGTCGCATTGTTTACCCCTGTCGAAATCGGCGGTCTAGGATGCTCAGCTATGCAAATTTCAATATACTTGGCTGCGCAGGGCGGTAGTCAGGCCGTATGGCTACTATTCGCTTTTCCATTCCTGCAGCACCGCCTAGGTACTAAGGGGGTGTTGCAAATGTGTGCTACTGCGTATCCGTTGTTTTTCGCAGGCTACATTGTCATGAACACCTTGCTTCGGGACGGCGGTCAAGCTGCCATGGCTTGGTTCTGGATACTAGGTTCCGTGGTTGCATTTGTCGGTCCCGGCGTGTCCATGGCCTTCACCGGAGTGCAACTGGCTTTGAACGATGTATCTCCAGCGCCTCAACAGCTCGGAACTCTCAATGCTATCGCCTTGACGTGCACCAGCGCCATTCGTTCAGTCGTGCCCGGTGTCGCTTCCGCCGTCTATGCTGTCGGTGTTCGTCATCAGATATTATGGGGCCACCTTGCTTGGGTCATTCTTATCCCTATATCGATGGCATTGACAGTATGTCTCAAGTGGTTACGCAATGATGGGCGCTGAGAAAGAAAGTTCTGATTGTTTATATAAAAATTGAACGTCATCAGTCTTGCGCCGGCGGGAAGAGTGGTCATTGGCCTAATGTGGCATCAGCATGTATTTTGGCGTCCAAAAAGTACTTTGTATTCCAAAACTGTATATTTTTATCTACCTTATATTACTCCGAAAACAACCTGGTATATATAGGATCCTGGAGACTTGTCTTTCTTTTTGCTGGCCTCTAACTATTGAGTTGCAATGTGAAACGAAAACGATTAAACAATCTGTATTCTATGCCCCACTGATTGGGCTTCGATTTCATGGCAATATTAGACGATTGTGAATGGATCTAAACATTGTGGTCGCCTGCCTGGGTGCTAGAGCCCTGGTGGTGACCTGACCGTGACCTTCGCCATTCGAACGTGGTCATGGGTTTTGTCTTAATAGCTTCTCTGAGCTTTTCTTCGCTTCGGTGTATCCAGGTGCCAGCGGAGGCGGTGCTGACTGGATAAAGGGGCATATTTTCCGATTTCATGAAAAAACCATACGGGTTCTGCATATCGTAGGAGGCGATTATATCCAACTCGGCCGCGATCTGGTCACAGAAACCGTCCAACGGCAGATCATTGACGTCTTGACCAAAGGGATTCTCAATTTCTCGGCCGATGAATAGAAGTCCGAGAATAATGTAAGCCGCGGCCAAGGTGGCGGGAATTGTGATCCAGCCCACATACTTGACGAGTTGGAAAGGGAGGAGCACCACGTAAAGCCAAGTGATCTGACTAATAGCAATAGTGTATGCAATTGGCAGGGGAGTGTTGAGCACTCGTTCGCATCCAGTCATAACGTCGTTGAGAACACTCAAGTTGTTATAGGCCAAGGTCTGCTGCATAGGCACCTTCAGCTGCTCATTCCTGACCATGTGATCAATGGTGACAGCAATGTGATTGAGAATTTCGAGTGGGAGGTTGCCAAGGGGGCGTGTCGCCTTTTTCAGCGTCTTCCGTGGGTTGCTGGCTGCAAACGAGACACCAAGATATTCTCCCAATCCTTTGAAAAAGTTCTTTTTGGGAGCAGTAAAAGACGATGCGTCCTCGTTTGTTGCTTCTTTAGCAAATGTATCCAAATGCCCGACAAGATTTTGCAAATCAGGGTATGCAGTGTACGGTTCGAAGCGTAGCGAGTGCTTGAGGGCAACAGCGAAGGCAACAAGCAGATTCATAGAGCTTAGCTTTTTCAGAACCGACTCTCGAGGGTCGGCTTCGGGATGGTCCAACCCGTGGATCCAAAAGACACGTCCTAGGACCTGGGAAGCCAAAACCAGTGCGGCCCAAAATTTTCGGCCTTCGGCATAGCGTTCGTAGGCAGTTGAGTTTCTGAAGGATAGGCCAAGACCCACTACGAAACCAGTGATTGTCAAGAGAACTGATTGCACACCAAGATCATGGATCTTCATGCTGATGACGGTAATGGCAGTTGACCATGCGGCAATAAATATCAGGGGAAGAATCATCTTGGGCAGAATGCTGCCGTGCATTTGGAGAAATATCGGCCATTTCGAGTGTTTCGAGGTATCTCGTGGGCCGGTGAAGTAGTCGTCGATCTCGAGCGATGTCCGGCGTGGGAACGGGAATGGTACATGGGGGGCGGTGGGCGACATTGGAGACTGAATGTTTTCCGGTTGTGCTTCAGTTGCGTGCTTCTTTTCATGATCCATTGTATGGACATTTGTCTTGGACGGCTCAAACATGGTCGTCACCTCTGCCGCACCGCCGTCGGCCATGTTGTCTCAGATGCACGCCGGCAGGACAAGCTCGCAGATAAATATAGAGAAAAATATGACAAGTGGTATAGCGATGGTGGATGAATAGAGAGGATTCGGGAAAGGACTGTGGCGCCGGAATTTAGGGCTTAGGAGAAGACCATAACGAGAGAAAGAACAGATAGCTAAATATCTAGGTCGTCAAAGAAACGAGGGGAGCAAAAAGAACAATCATGAAAGGAACCTGAAATTGAAGGTCAAGGACACAGAGGCCATGCCTGTTTAAGAATCGTCAAGGGTTGAGGCAGGAGTGCCGGCAGTGCTTTCCCTACTCATCCACTCACGCCACTCACACGTGCAGGCACGTACATGCGGCCATCCTCTCGCCTTCCACCTTTGCTTCCTCAACTGGTCCTGAAGCTGAAGTCCCTGCCCCCTTTGCAATTTTCTGTTTCCATGTCACAGCCGACAGCCTCCGCATACCAAAAGGTCAATTGTAAATTCACCACCAGACCACCAAACATCAGGCAAATCAACGAATCACGCCCTTTCCTGACCCGCAGCACCAAGCCTCGAACCCTCCAAGCGCTGACCGCCACCAGGAGCCAGGGGCTCTCGGCGCAACGGTAAGCGCCACATGGCAAAAAAAAGTGCAACATCTCGGACAAGTGGCCGCATTCGCAGGTAAGCATTGTGCTGCGCCTCCTATTACCGCTGGCTATGACAATACTAACATCCATCTCGCAACAACATACACATGGTTGGCGTTGCCTCGATTGGCAAAGGAACGATTGCTGACGCTCAGCACTCGTTGCCGGTTCGTAACAGTCGATACGATGCCCAAAACAATAAGCAGTACTAATACACTTTTCACCGCCACCACACATCATCTAACAAACCGAAGAGTCAGTGGTTGTGTCAAATTCCGAAACAAGCCACGACTACGAGGGAGCAGGAGTACCATAATTTATGGAGCACGGAGTATTTTAGGCCAGCCGTCCAATGCATAACGGAGCCAAGAAAAAATAAGCATTTTAGCCCCTGACCAAACTGGGAAATGCGCTGCTAGCTCACGGCTAGGCCCGTGGTGCAAAGTCAACCAGTTTTTGTCTTGGGTATGACACGATCTTCGAAGTGCCATCTGGGGCGACATTGAGGCCTTTTTTATTGTCAAATTTTGCCTTCAACATGGCTGCACCGTGCAAGTTCTAGGCCGTGCAAGTTCTAGGGACAATCAATGGCTGAGCTACAAACACGGGCCATGACCGTTCTGGCCACGATCCACCATTCGACCGTCGCCAACGCTGCGCGCCCCTTGCAAGGATTACATCTGGGGTTCCCACTGGTGGCCGGATCCGCCGAACTACGTGACTGTATTCGTTCCTTCGTGGACTGTAGCTCGGTTTGCTCAAGAGCCCCTGAAAGGGGCCCCCTGAAGATTGAACTTGCCCAGCGACGTATTTCCATCCAACAGCATGCCCCCGAGTAGGATGGAGAGTAGGATGTTGAGTTGGGCACAACAGTTGGTAGCGATCCACGCGCTCCAAGCTCGCCACTCGGGGGCCTTGGATAGGAATTGGCATTGAGTAATGTGTTCGTGGAAATCATGCAAAGTACAGCACGGTCTCACGAAATAGGATGACTGTGTTAGAGGGGCGACGGTGTATTTTATGCCTTCCGTTTGAGATATTAATAGCTCATGCAAGCCCACGACGGCCAGAAACCCGTCGTTTGATGATATTACATTGTGGCCAGGATTCCCGTCGCGCCGGCACAGTGGTACCGAAAAGAGTTGCGATCTGCCAAAATTATGCCGATGCCAGTAGTATCTCGGATGAGAATATTATTTGAGAAGTACATACACTCAACGCGAGCGTCATGGTTTTACTACGGAGCTACCCGAATAAAACCTTGTCGGCACATCTTCAAAAGGCATCCTCACAGCCAAAATCGAGCGTTACTAACCCTTGTCGATCATCGTTGCACACTGTGCAGCAGCCAATGCCGTCACAATCGAGACTCAATGTTCTGCAATTCGGCCAACACTGTCGCAAGGAACCACGACAATACGGCATAATATTTGTGCAGATCCAGGGGGGTGTTACTGGCGCCCTTGTGCTGTCGCCCGGGGTTGCTGCTAGTGTCTGAATTCATTTCGTCAGACACTGGGCTCGTTGCAGGCTACGCGCTCATATTGATAAACACAAGACCGATGAAGTCCGTCTAGCGGGATGGTAGTGGCCATACCGTGTGCCGTGGATATCTTCTTGATCTTTGTGCAGGCTCGTCCGTCAAAAGTTCAACAGCGCAGAATCGCAAGGATATTTTGCTCACCTTGAAGCTATCTCGAAGGGATGTCGTTACTAACCACGAGCCGCATACATTTCGGTGTGTGTAGATATCCAACAACTGCAATTCTTGAAGATTAATGCCTTACGCGACTTGGCGCTCTTCCCATGATCACCGCATAGTACTCACAAATAATCACTGATCTACAATTGCCATCTATTTTAGGTAGCAAATTCCCGGGAAACCGATAAATGAACCCTCTAGCTCATACTAACTTACCAAGTACAATCCCACCTCAGATGTGTGATTGACGTTCTCGAATGCCACAATATCCCAATCGCTTAGAACCAGAGCAAAAAGTCGCTTGATTTTAATCTAACAAGTCTCTTGTTTTACGTCGACATCTGTCTCTGTCGCATATGTTTCGGTCAGTTACCTCAACGGCTAATGCCGCCGCGGCTGATTTGCTGAACATTCATCACGCTCTACTGTACAGCCACCTTTCCAGCTAAAAACCGTCCATTTCCCAGTCTGAAAGGCCGTTTACTCGGCCCGACACCAGCTTCACAAAAATGTCCCACCACGATAGTTCTACGTGGCAGAGATACGTGTCGTACACGTCAGGCCGCTGGGTTCGGGACTCAGCAGACCCGTCAGGTTTGCGGCATCGCAGCCCAGCAGCAGCCCAGAAGCCGTGGAAATTCGGAGACGGATGATTTTCAGGTTACACTTCCAGTTACGCTCGAGTTAGTCATGTAGAGCAATTAGGTCAGTCTCATGTTTATTTTGTGACTGGCAGAGAAGCGTCAGGCGCCAACAGGTAAAACTTACGGTATGGGACCAATCATGACCTGAAGCACCAGGTGTGTTTCCGGAACGAGATCCAACACTGGAATTTGACAACTTATTCGGCTCTAGGGTGTGTAGTAGCTCATGCTTGTACGCGAATGAGCATATATACAGTCTCACGAAGCAATACCCGCTCTTCGTAATATTCCATCACATGGACATCTGGAGGGCAGGTCCCGAGTGTGTCTTCGGACCACAGGCTTTGCTAGGGACCTGCAACCAAGTATGGATCGAGTTCCCCAGATTCTGTTCTCTGTCGCCTCCAACTTTAATATATCGAATGGCAGAGTAAATGCCGCCAGCTTGTCGCCAGCACGCCACAATAAGGGAATAAAGGTGGTTAGTCCCTGCCCCGCGTTGTGTCGTAACGACTAGATGTTCCACGGTCATAAACAGAAATTACCGCTATATTTGGTGGTGATAAAGGGTATGATGAATCGATTATAATGGATCATGCTAATGAATGTATGTACCAAAGAAAAAGCTCCAACAAACACGGCATTGGCGCACCACCCAAGGAGCATGCTCACGCCGAGCCGATCTGGTTGACGTTCCCTATTTTCCAGGACCAGATTCATTTCCTGGGTTTGAGCCTGCTAGTTCCACAGGATTGTTCGGCTGCGTCATAAGTTCATGAAAAGGCGTTCCATGCAGTTCGGCGTGCCGTGGTGTTAGCGACTTGTCCGCGGCCTGTGGCGGAACCTGATAACGGTGTTTGCGCTTCCGCCACCAAAAGAAGGCTCCTAACAAGGCCGCAATCGCAACAACAGGGATAACAACCCCAATCGCAACCTTGGCACCTGTAGAGAGTCCGCCCGGCTCATCGGTGTCCTGTGACGCATTCGAAGTGGCCGCACCCCCTGATGGACGTGAAGCAGACCTATGTGTTGTCGATTCTGTCGGTTTCGTCGAAAGATCGGAGGACTGGTAGACCATTCGGATGCCAAAAGCATTCAGACCCTCTGGGCTGTGAAAGCCAAAGGTTTGCGTGGTCGTGATGCCGTTTTCACTCGTGGTCACGGGCAGGATGGAGTCTGAACTCGGAGGTGCAATCCATGTGCAGTAGAGCGTTGACCAACTCCCCGACAGTGTGCTCGTGGTAAGGCAGCCCAGGGTGACGTCTGGGTTCTTGAGAGCAGGACAACATGTTACCGTTGTTATCGATGCCACGCCGGTTGTATCATGGCACGCGGATACGTAGCCCGACGGACAGACAAGGCCGGGCGAGAAGTAGGCGTCTGATTTGAAGTTACTGGGCAGGCAGGTAGAGCTTAGATCTACCATGGCCAGAAACCCCGACAGGTAGATGCCATCACAGTCTGAGGGCCGGGAAAATGTCGTGGTGAGGGGGTTCCTAGGAAAGGATGTGATGACGGACGGAGTGTATGCCGTCGTTGATACTCTTGTTGTGAGCGTGGACGACATGGTGGAATCGCGCGCGCCGCGACACTTGGGTTGGCTGGGCTATGATTTTCAAAATTGGTTATGATTGTCACAGGAATTCGCGTCCATGAGGTTGGGGCCGTACCCGCAACCGTTTTCCACGATGTCGATATCTCGCCGTGGCACGACTTTGGCTGGGAAAATGGAGTACGGAGTAGTACAGGAGGCAACAGAGAGAAGTTGGGCGGGTCTACAGATGAAGCAAAACACGACGTGGCAACCGTCCAGAATAATAATTCAGGTCGGGGTTATCGGTCTCCAGCAACAGACAGTCGAGGGCGCACTTGTACAACCCTGTCCAAGTTGGATGCTGACTGCAGATACTGCCGGTTTCATGACGATCGAACCAATTGAGGCAAGATTACGGTGGAGCGGCCGAATCCATGGCCGCGGTAACTACTATTCAGCTCCAAGGTCAGACTGCTGTTCATTTGCCAATGGATCCATGGGATAGCCGCGGCGGTCGACAGGCGTCGGAAGGGGATGAATATCCCAAGCTTGGTAGCCGTGACAAGCCAGGCGTCTTCAATGTTGCTTCTCCCTGGTAGGCCGCCAGAGATGGATGGCATCAAGACACCAACCACATAAATAGTCAGAACGACCACTGTCGGCGACGCAATGGAAGGCGGCACATTTGCCCGAGATGAGCCATAAAAAAACTGCTAGATGTGTAGCCATGGACTTGTCTGTGTGATGTCAAACAACTCGTGTGTGCCACGAAGATGGGTCAAGTTGACGAGGTCGGCTTCCGCCCCCACCCTCTCCCGCACCACTTTTCCATCCATGCGCTCATCGCGACTCATCAGACTCGCGACGCAACACACCCCAGCGTCAATGGCGACCTGATCAGCATCCCACAACCGCCCAGCACAATGGATCGCTCGCAGCCCTCTTCGTCCAACCTCATGGGTTCGTATGCCCGTCCGCCTCAAACCAGGCACCGGTCCCCCATCTCCATCGTCGTCCGTCCATCATCGGATACTAACGCCGCGCAAGACAACCACAACCGCCTCGTCGCCGACATCCTCACGCGCTACCGCACCCTCATGATGCTGGCCACCGTCCAGGCAGAGGGCGAGCGGAGCAACGCCACGCCCGAGACCATGGCCGTCAGTGGCATCTCCATGAAGATGGAGTTTGACGGGCTGGTGCGTACATCCCCCCCTTTTCTCCCCGTATCAAGCACCGCTCACAGGTTGCTAGAACTCCTCCATCAAAGACCTGTTGTCGCTGTCGCGCAAGATCAAGGAGCTGTGGGTGTTTGGGCCGCTGGGCCAGGGCGATCCCGACCGCAAGGCCAAGGACGCCCAGATTGAGGACGACGTCGCGCTCGTCTCGGCCCTGCTGAACGGCCTCGACGGCCGGCGGATGAGAGACCTGGCGCATAGGTGTGGCGGTACGTGGGAGGTGTTGGCCAAGGAGGACGCTACGACGGCCAAATGAGCTTGGGCATTCTATTTCTTCAGCAGCACGGTGGGCAAGATATCCGCATAACGGGCGTTGGGGCGTAAATACCCTTAGGACTAGGGGGCGTTGATTCATTCAAGCAGCATGGTTGGAAACTAAAAGGCTTTCATTTCATTTCTACACCTCGTCTTCTTGTATCCTGTTCCCCTATATGGTCTACCGGGCCCATCGTCACCAGCGGCTCTAGCCCTCGCCGCCCTCTGGGTTCTCGTCCTCGTCGCCCAGCGCCTTGTCCACCTCCGTCTTGTCGCTCTCCTTGTTCAGCTCGGCGACCTTTGTCCCGCCGGCAGACAGCCACAGGAAGTGGTTCGCCTTGAACTGGTCAATCTGGTTGTAGAAGCCGTGGAACCTTTCCACCATCTCGTTAGCAGCGCCCCTTTGTCTTTTTTCCCAGCATTTCAAAAATCGCCACTTACGTATTCTCCTTTTCTTCCACCTCGAATATCCGACTGTAAATGTGCTTCTGCTTAAACGCCTCGAGGCGCTCCTCGTATTTGCCGAAATCAATCGTCTCCTTGCCGAGGGTGTCCTTGGCCCTCCGGTTGTAGTTGTCGAACACGGGCCGCTCCAGCAGGAGCCCGAGGCCGGGGGCTTTCGGGATGGCCATCTTTTGCTCCTGGTACGAGTCGGCGACGCGGTCGAGGGCGGTGCCGCAGCGCACCATGAGGGACGCCAGGCCGACCATCTTGCGGATCTGGTGCATCATGAAGCTCTGCCCGTGGACCTTGAGCGAGAGCCACTCCGTGCCGCCTATGATGACGGGCTTGGGGTTCACGGTGAACGACTTGATGTGGCGGCGCGCCGAGGGGTCGGAAAAGGTCTTTTGGATGGTGAAGTTGTGGAAGTTGTAGGTGCCCGTGTACTTGTCGAGCACGCTCTGCAGGCGCTGCAGGCGCTCGGGGGAGACGCGGTACCGCCGCTTGGCGGCAATGTACGCGGCCTTGATGTCGCGGAGGGCAAAGTCGATGGGGGCGAGCTCGCGGTGTTTGGGCTTGTGAGACTCGAGGCTGACTCTTTTGGGTTCTTCTGGCCCCGGCGCCGCGTCGCCCGCCTCGTCTGGCTTGTCTGTCGCCCCGGCATCGGGGGCGTGGTCCTGCTCAGCCTCGGCCTCGGCCTTTTTGTTGTTCTCATACTCCTCCGCCTCCTGGGCGTGCACCCGCTCCATGACCACGGCTCTCAGCTCCGGGTCCAGACGGGCGAGGATGGGCTTGATCTCCTTCTCTTCGACGTGCGCCCAAAAGTCCTGGACGTCCGCCATCACGGCGGCCACTTCGTCCTCGGCGCCGTACTCCTTGTTGAGCTTCTCGCACTCCTTGGCCAGGTACGTCTGCGGATGGGGCGGCAGCAGGCAATAACTGGGCAGCAAGTACTCGTAGAAGCGCGAGTCGCAGTACTGGTAGCAGTTGAAGCTGTTGTTGGTCCTCTGGATCCCCCAGATGCGAATCTGCTCCGGCAGGTGCGCGTTGATCTTTTCCACAATGTCCTCGTCCTCGATGATGAGCTTGAGGCTAATGACGTTGCCCGCGGCATGCACCCCCTTGTCCGTTCGGGCGCACCGCGCCAGACTCGATTTGCGGGGGTCGTCGGCATTCGCCTTTGAGATGGCCTTGGCGTCAATGAAGGCTCTAAAGAGATCTCTTTCAATCGTCGGCTCGTCGCCATTCACTTGCATGCCCTTGTATCCTGTGCCGGAATACCCAATCATGACGGCGACCTTGCGCTTCGGCCGCCGCTCTTCCGAGGCGATTTCCTCCTGGGAGAAGGGATTCTTCTTTTCCGAGTTGCCTGATTCGCCTGCTTTGTCGCTCAACTTGCGGCGCTTGAATTCGCGCCAGTCGTCCTGCTTCTTGCGCTTCTTGTCGTTCTTTAGCTGGCGGCTACAGGCTGGTCAGCGTCAGGTCATGTTTGCGAATTTTCTGCATGTTCAGCAAGGACAGAAATGTGCGCCGGCTCACCTCCGTTCTGCTCGCCCCTTTTCTCCTCGCTTCTTTCCTTCGTGGTTGTCGCCAGGCTTTTGACACGGGGTGGCATCGCCAGATTCCGTGGCGGTGGTGTTGCCAGGCGTGGCATTGGCCGCAGAGGCATTGCGCTCCACGGCAGGGCCGCTGGTCTCAGCAGAATGTTCGTCGCCGGCCGCCATAGCTGCATCGAGATTGGCAAGCTTGTTGCTTTCGTGTCGGGTGCGAGCTTGCCTTGTCCAGAGTGACGAGGTGTACTTGTACGTGTTGGTCAATTGGTGACATGGAGGCAGAGAAATTTCAATTCGGCAGCTTATCGGTGGGGCGATAAGACCAGCCACCCAGGCCGGCTGCTGGTAGCTTTTTGCCTACCCTACATGGTGACTTTACGACATCGCGTGATGCAAACTTGTACGGTTTACATCAACACCGACATGAAACAATCTCACTAGGCTCTTTTTATTTGGGTGCTCCTTGTGCACTGAGTTTTTGTATGATTTCCTTGGTTTAATGACGAAATGTAAGAATCCCTTGGTTGCAATGAAGTGAAAAACAAGATGCAAAATTGAGGACGTTAAAACTGTGTCTCCCGCCATCATAACCATGGACGCCCTAGTCGTAAGGAGCCAAACTAAAATACGAATTCCAGCTCTTCAAAGCTGTGCACAAGACATGCAAATGCTGCAACAATACTCCGTAAACGATCATCATCAAGGGTGAATTATCACTCGTCTCCCCGGTACTCCGTATTTCAGCGACGAATTACAAAGGTGGCCACGGCACACTACCCAACGTTGACAGGCTTGCAACGTTATTTCTTGACATCAATGTCAAGCTTGGGCCATTTTGCGGCGGCGTCATCTCAATCTACATCTAGGCGCAGGCCGGCTACTTTCCGAAAGCTGCGATTGCCACTTGCGCAGCACATCCCTTTGACTGCAGTAAGGTCCAACTTTTGTAACGGACCCATCTTTCTGCGAGACCTAGTAGGTACCTTTGTAGTGTCTGGTGTTATAATTACGTGGGTGTAATGTAGCCTTTTATAACCTTGGAGATTACTAGTAACGTTACTTATATTATTGTATTATTTTTTAGTAGGTTTTTGTACCTTTTATTTTAATTTTTTTAATTGGTTAGAATCCCTGCAGGCTACAAAAGTTGGACCTTACCGCAGTCAAAGGGATATAGATTGCAAACCTGCAAAACTCGCTGGAACTAGGTTCCAGAACACGCCAAGGTACAGAAATCTTACCTCTTGCAGGGCGTAGTCACTGAGACAAGATCCGTGCGCATTTCGGCTGTCATGCATATGTCACCCATCACCTGATGTAATCGCCGGAGATGATGGGACAAGTTTACTCCGTAGCACAGCACCGTCAAATCGGTAAAAGTGAGGCGCTGGCATGTCTCAGCCAGCCGTGTCCCCTGTAAGAATCGATGTACATATCGAGTGCTCCTCGCAGTTACTATTCAAGTCACCTGTCTCCATGACAATGGTGCTCTTCATGTGGCTTGGGATGGGACGCCGCGGGTTGAGTCTAGCACATGTTGCTCACTCACTCGCCAACAACGGAACCAGACATTCAATGCTTGGTCATTTAGTACTGGTGGCACTGTAGATTCTAGTAAAAACTTGGCGATTCAGGCATCAATATCCGTTTGGGAAGCCGACTTCTACACCATCCTGTTTATGTACAGCGCCAATCAGCCCCGGCAAACTCCGCTTCCATTCTACAAAAGCCATGCACACCCGGACAGTGTGGCATCCAAATTAATTTGGCCATTGGCTTCCAGAAGATACCCATGCGGCAGTCCTGTTACGAAGTAGGTGTGGCGTCGGCATGGGTGCGATGCGACGGTTCAATTGAAGTGTCCGCCGGCCCAGCGGCCCCAGGCATAATCCGGTAATGACGATGATGCAAGCTCCCCGTCTCAGCCGTCCTGGGGGAAATGGGGCTTGTGGCTGTTCCTCGGGGTCGGTCCGCTCGCTGGATAGGGCGGCGTGGCGTATTCAGCCCGGTCCGCATGACTTGGATGGGTTATTTGCGCCGTTGGCTAGCACCAGCCGTCCCGGGAACTCGAGTGAAGCTTTCCCGTTGGTTTTCCAACCGGCTCTTTTGGCTCCTTTGGGGCTCGCTGACGACCCACGGCTTGCGCAGCAGGACCTGAAGCAAAGCCCCCGTTTTTAGCTCTTCGTCCTTGGGCTGCGGGAGAGATTGAGCCCGCATGAGATGCTATCGAGTAGTAAATGCGTGGGCGAGTGGCGAGGCGGGGGGGATGATACCATCGAGGTCCATCGACCGCGGACGCGCTGTGGGCTGGATTGGGACCCTTTCTCCGCTTGGCACGGATGAGGCAGTTTACTCGGCTCGAGTGAATAAATCTCTCCAAGGCCCTGTTTTGCCGGTTGGCCTTTTTCCCTCCAAGCTCGACCTTTCCGCTTCTGTAAAGGAAAGCGTTTGGCGTGCAAAAACAACAACAGTCTCGGTTTGGAAGCTGCATGACGTGACACTGCGTCGGCGCCGCGCTCGAGTCTGGTTGCATTGCATCGGATTTCTTTTTCCGCCGTGCTAGCGGGTCGGCAGGAAACATTATCGGAGTCGCCTTGTCTCGGCCCTTTTTTTTTCATCCTGTCAAGATGACAAAGTTCAAGATGGAGGTTGTCGCTGCGGTGGCTGCTTGGGCGTTGACGTCTGCCTGCACCGGTCTGCCGGCGGTTCGCGATCTCGTCCCGGGCCTCTGCCCCCGAGACATTGACGAGGCGCAGGCGCTGCAGAGCAGTCTGTCGCCCGGCGCCAAGGTGTACTTTCCCGGCTCGCCCGAGTTTGACGATGCGTCGACGCGCTGGTCTACGCTGAGCCCGCCCACGGTGAATGTCGTCGTCGTTGCTGCGACGGCCAAGGACGTCTCCGAGACGGTAAGTGAGCGCACAGCACGCCCGACTACGAGGGGGGGTCCTTGGCTAACCGCGGCGTCAGGTCAAATATGCAAACAGGAAGAAGCTGCCGTTCCTGGCGTACAATAGCGCCCACGGGGCCATCACCACGCTGGGCAGGATGAAGTCGGGCGTGGAAATCTACCTCGACCAGCTCAACACCATTGAGGTCGCCGAGGATGGACAGACGGCCACGATTGGAGGCGGCGCGCTGTCCAAGCACGTGACTGACACACTGTGGGATGCGGGCAAACAGACAGGCAAGTAAAGGTGCTGCCAGTTGGCCAGTCGTGCAAGGAAAAGGGGCCAAAACTAACGTGTCCAACTGCCGCACAGTGACGGGAACCTGCGAATGCGTCAGTCTCATGGGGCCGGCGCTTGGTGGTGGCCACGGCTGGCTCCAGGGCCATCACGGCCTCGTCGCCGACCAGTTTGTGTCCATGGACGTCGTCTTGGCCGACGGGGAGTTGCAAACCGTTGATGCCGAGTCGGATCTCTGGTGGGCGCTCAACGGCGCCGGCCACAATTTCGGCATCGTCACATCCGTGACCACAAAGGTCTACGACATCGAGCACCGCGACTGGGCCATTGAAACCATTGTCTTCTCCGGCGACAAGGTCGGGGCCGTGTACGACGCCGCCAACAAACACCTGCTCCAGAACGGCACCCAGGCCGCCGACGTCATCAACTGGTCGTACTGGCTGCACGATGCCGCCGCCGACCCCAACAACGTAAGTCGCCCCGTCCCGTACTCCACGCGCCGGTGAAACCATTCCGCGGCAGCTGACCCGAACCGTGTGCCCGCGTACAGCCCATCATCCTCTTCTACATCATCCAGGAAGGCGTCAAGGCAGTCGACGCCAGGTACACGCAGCCCTTCCACGACCTTGGCCCCGTGGCCGTGACGCCCCTGAGCGGAACGTACAAGGACCTCGCCGGCTGGACGGGCATTGCGCTCTCGTCCCCCCCGTGCCAGAAGGCCGGGCTGGCCAACCCCCGGTTCCCCATCTACCTGCAGTCGTACAACGTCGAGGCGCAGGAGGAGGCGTACGAGGCCTTTGCCAACGCGACGCGGGGCTCGTCGGCCTTCAACGGCTCCCTCTTCATGTTTGAGGGATACCCCGTGCAGGGCGTGCAGGCCGTCGACGGCGAGTCGAGCGCGTTTGCCTTTCGCGAGGCTCACCTGCTGGCGGCGCCCCTGATCACCTACAAGCCCGACGGGGCCGAACTCGACAAGGAGGCCGGCCGCCTGGGTAACCGGCTCCGCGATATTCTCCACAGGGCCAGCGGCCTGTGCAACGTCCGAGCATACGTCAACTATGCCTACGGCAACGAGAACCCCAAGGTGTGGTACGGCAGTGCGAAGTGGCGTCAGGAGCGACTCAAGGAGCTCAAGAAGCAGTATGACCCTCTGGGCAAGTTTAGCTTCTTCGGGCCAATCGCGTAGAGAGGAGGAGAGCCATTGATCGGTATACATAGGGGGCGGGTTACGGAGTAGAGGGGGCGAAATATTGTCCGCCCGGTATATATAGCATAGCGAGGGTGAAACGCGCATCACCCCAAGGTTGAAATAATTTATACTACATACATATATAGAGAACTGCATCTTGGGGCATGAACAACTTCCCTTGAGTTTCTTCCGCTACAGGGATGGGACAACGTAAAACAGGAGGATGCACACTGGCACATGCGGCATTCGAGTTTCCCATGTATTGCCCGTACGTATGTATCCACCGAGGTCACATCGCTGTGAATGGTGCAACTCGCGCAACTCGGAGGATTTCTCCTAGCTCGGGCGGGAAGTCTCGTCTGGGAACAGGGCGCTCGGGACGAGACTGCAGTGAAATGGCGGCCGCAGGCGACGGCATGGAACGAAACGCCCAGCGAAACGCCGACGGAGGATATTCTTCTCGCATTGACGGCCCCGGCACGATCTAGTTGCCAGCGGGCCTCTGCTATGTCTGTCCATCACGACATAGAGCAGCCCGGCAGTATGTCGTCTGGTAGTAGTACGCAGGCCACGGCGCCCACCGCGTTGAGTCTGGTACGTAGTTCCGCCACCCACGCAAGAGTGCATTAATGCCAACTGGTACATCCGTCCAGTAGCTTCGCCCACGGACAGGGGCCGTCGTGAAATGTGCACAACTGGCCCCGGGGATGGGAGGCCTGGCGCCGCGCCTCGTAACTTTGAAGCCAGGAACCAGACTCGCGGCGACAGCCCCGGCATTAGCGTCAACTTCCTTCTGTCCCTCAACCCTGTCCACGCACGGCCAACATTACCTTTGCGCTTGACTCGTGGCGTCTGCGTGGAGAGAAGCTGCAAATTTCCCCGGCTTTTCGGCGTTTTCGTCCCATCAACAAGTCTGGCTTCGAGATGGGGTTGACCGAGGCATTTCCGTCTGCGAACCGGAAAGGCGTCGTGCGTCGTCCTCTTGGGGGAATCGTGGACACCAGGCCATGGCTCCGATGTTCCGATTTTGATCTGGTTTCGAGGATCGACGCGTCGGCTCCCGAGTTGCAAGACTGTGGGAGAGGCGGCCCTGGTCAAGTGCTGGGGATATTTGGTGCCAAGGGACACCAATGCCACACCATGAATCGGGGGGACATGTAACTTGCACAGTCGATATTGTATGTACGTCCTCCTCCCTACTCCATACATTGGTACATACATACATACATGTCTTGCCGTGCGTGTCGTCTGCAGGGTAGATGGTTCCTGGGGTCCCGTCACACATGATGCCGTGTCACGACGCTAGCAGGTTACGTTGCAGAATCTCTCTTCCATCAATGTCTGCTCTAGAGGCGTCAACTGTCAACTGTCAGCACTGAGCCCATTGGTGCCCATGGCAGCGCATGCCCTGTTGCCCACATGCAAGTACCGTCAACCGACCTTGCTGCTTCATCTCTCGATGGCGCCATCTGCCGGGGGTGCAATGCAGCCCGCCAGCATGCTACTCTCGACATCAATGCAGTTTCCACATTCTTAATCTAGTCCAACGCCCAAAAGGACTGTGCGCCGGCCTCGTCGGCAGCGGCGCCGAAACGAGCAGCCTCCCGCGCGGCACTGGTCCTGCTGTCTGTGCCTTTTGCCCCCTCGGCCAAGTTTGCCTTCTTCTTTCTTCTTCTAGACCCGGAATGGACGTGTAGATACGAACCGTCAATGGCACAGACAGTCTCCACCAGGGGACATGGAAACCTGCTCGCTTGCTCTCCGCCGGTGGAGATGAGATGCAAATCACTTGCCGGGATCGCAGATAACGCCACCAAACCTTGACCCCATGCCTGCTTACAACGAGCCAGGTTGGCGGGCCACGACTCCGACTCTTTGCTCTCCCTAGGAAAGGCTTGTAGCGAAATAAGTCGGCGGCAAGATTACTCCTCGCGTCCTGGGCCCCCCTGCTTCTGGCGTCGCACTCGGTGCCAAGTCCGGCTCGAGAGCAGAGCTTGGACGACGGAGAGACGATGGCGCTAATCGAGTCCGTTCAGGGTCTTAAACCCCCGGGAGGCCCTTCTCGTCCCGGGGTTTGCTCTCTTCTGGTGACGGTCCTTCTCGCGTACATGTCGATTTGGATATGGCGCCCGGCGACTCGTCTGATCCCGCCGCGCAGGCAGCGGCCGCGGCGGCATTTCACCGCTTCACCGTTGAGCTGTGGACGTTGTACGGCATCGGCGTCTTCGCGACCTTCCTGAGGACGTATGCTCGCATCCGGGCCGTGGGGGCTAGGAATCTACGCGCAGACGACTATCTCGTCTGGGTTGGCGTGGTGAGTCTACCGAGTAGCCTGCAAACGGCTTCAACTTGACTGACTGACTGTTGATGCCGGCTCTCAAGGCCTTCTACACTGCGCAGGCGGCGCTCGGTTATAGTATCGGCAATGTTGCTCACGGCCTGGCCAATAATGGCATGTCTGATGCCGAGCGCGTGGCCCTCTCACCCAGCAATCCCGAGTACCAGTCGAGGTATGTCGCCGGTGGGCTCTGTTGAATGAAGCGAGAAGCGAGAAGCTAATGGTCGTATTTGATGTCAATAGAGTGATTGGCTCCAAGATTCAGGTGGCCGGCTGGACAACCTATTCCCTCCTGATCGGCTTCTTGAAGCTATCCGTGCTCGCCTTCTACATCCGACTCACGGTACGGGTTCTTGTCTACGTTCATCGACGTGTCTACCTTTGCGGCGGCAGATTTTCTAACTCGCGTGGACAGGACGGGCTTGGGCGGCCGTACAAGATCCGCATCGTCATTGGATTCATACTCGTCATCGGGACAACCGTGGCCTGCATCCTCACCAACTTCCTCGCCTGCCGACCATTCAGCAAGTACTGGCAGATCAACCCGGACCCTGGGAGTAAGCTCATTCCGCCACGGCCTCCAATCCCGATGACGACCTTGTGCTAATCATGGCAAACTAGACGCATGCCAGGCGGCCGTCTCGCGGCCCATCATCTGGGTGTCCTTTGCGGCCAACGTCTGCACCGACATATACCTGATTCTGATCCCGCTCCCCATGCTCTGGGGATCCAGCCTGAAAACGATCAAGAAGATTGCCTCGACAATCGTCCTCGGGGCGGGCATCTTTGTCCTCGTGTGCGCGACGCTCAAGAGCGTCTTTGTTCTAGTGGTAAGCCTTTCCCCCTATCTTACAGAGATGTACACAGCCGCCTTGTCTGACCGCGCCGTCTCTTGTTTTGCAGGACACGGTCAACGGCGCCCAGCTCGCCGGCTCCTGGGGCACGAGGGAGGCCTTTGTGGCCGTCATCACGACCAACCTCCCCATGCTGTTCCCCCTGTTCCGGGTCTGGCTCGCGCCACTGTTCGGGAGCGCCCTGCGGTCGTCCAAGAAGTCGTACAAGTCGCCCACCGGCCTCGTGACGTTTGGAGGCGGCGGCGGCGCCGGCTCGTCCACGCCTCGCAACCGCCCGCGCACGGCGAACCCCATCACGGCAAACATGACGTTTAGCGAGAGCGAGGAACGCATCGTGGGGGCCATCAAGATGGATGTCGTGGGGGGCGCGCGGCCCTCGAACGCCATTGTCGTGTCGAACCAGGTCGAAGTCACGCACTCGGATAGGAATAGCCCGATGGACGGCCGCTACGCACAGCATACTCACGAACACTGGTGAGACGGACACGCAGGACAGACAAAGTTCGGAGAAGCAAGAGACTTGGGTAGAAGATTCATGCCAGCAAGGCTCGGTGTGTTGGTCCCGCCGTTGCTTCCACCACAAGTTGGGCTGGCGAGTTGCAAAACATGGTCGGGGAAGATACGAGCCCGCTGCTGCAAAGAGGTACGGCCGAGGTTCGCAGATTCTCAGAGTGTGCTCGATGAAACCCGGCTGCGAAGGGTGGTTCATGACTAGACAACGGCTTCGCGGGCAGGCCGGCAACGCACTCGTCAGGGGTTCACTCCGCGTGCCACGAAACGGCTTGTATGCCGCGCCCGAGAGATTGATGATTCCCCAAAAAGCCACATGCATGTATGTACAACGTACATTGGACGTGATGGACTCCCCTCACTGCAGGACAATGCTGGGCGGGAAGAAAAAAGTGTTGTTTGTAAAATAGTACGCCAATAGCGTTGTTGCTACCATTTCGTATGTCCGCGCACCCATGAAGATACATGTAATCACTTGGCCAGCTCGGCGTGTATACATTTACAATTAAAATATCAACAAGGTCCTCGTCGCAGTACACGCCGGCTCGATGTCCAAAACGCCAGCCAAACCTCGACCAACATGAATCCACGTAACGTACAGAAAGAAACTCTTCGTATTAAGCCCCGTTTACAAAAGTTGGCCCAGCAAATTAAACCCCCCTGATCGAGGTCCCTAACCGCAGGCACCCCATTCTCCGGCCGCCACCTCCCGGGCCTGCTTCGCGTGCCGCCGAGGTTTGTGAGGACAAGCCAAGCTGCAGCGGTAGGCCACGCCGCCGTCTTGCGAGCTCCTGTACGACTCCCGAGACAGCAGACACCCGTTGAACCTGTACACGGCCACGTCGAGCAACTGGTCACCGTCGCCGTCGTCCACGACAAGGTGCACTTTTCGCCGCTGGCTCGCGGGCGCCGCGATCCTCGTCGGCACGGGGGCCATGTCCGTCACCGGCGTGGCATTCACAAATACCCCCATGGACGCGCAGTCCACCGTCTGCCCCTGGACTCTTTCGCCCGCCGTGGAGGTCGGCGCTGGAGAAGAGGCACCGGCCGTGGTGGTCGCCTCGGCCTGGTGCGTGGCGGCGGCGGCGGTTTTGGCCTCTTGGGCCGCCGCCTCGGTCGCGGATGCCGGGAGCGCCGCCGAGGACGGCCTGCTGCCGGATATCATGGTGAAGCTGGTCCCGTTGGTTCTGTCACGTTCCGTCAGCAATTCTTGCCCCCGGCTGCGTTGGCCTTGACTCGACTTACCTGTTGGACGCGGTCTCGCTGCTGCTCCAGCCGGGGTTGATGTTGCTGTC